CCGCACGTATTTCAGTTGGCAGCACTTTATGCAACACCGCGGTGCCACACGCAAGGCGTCACCTACCGTATTCCGACTTAATTCGCGGTAGGTGGAATACTTTTCCACCACTGCTGTATTGGACGTGGGCGTCACGAATCCGCAAGAATTCGACTGGTGGAGTACATTTACGCCACTGCTGTGTTGGGCGTGGGCATCCCGATTCCGTGAGGATGTGATTGCTGTTGTCTCAAGCACCGACGTGGTAACCATCCAACGTAAGGTGGTCACAGTTTATCAGTCCGCAGCTCCCCAGCGCACAGCCCGCCCAGAAACTACAGAGAGGAGTACGTGTTGCATATGCTCGCCTGATAAGATTCAGACGCAGAAGTGCTGGGTTAGTTAGTTAATACAATGCATAATCAACTAATAGTTGTAGGTGATTTAATCTAATTTAAATAATATATTAATTATTCTTGGGTTATCGTGGCGCGCAATCCATACGTCGCCGCATGCATAGCGAGCATCATTGGACTGACATCATATCACTCTCAGATCGTTATGATGTTTTATATATCCTTATCATCGTTACAGTTAAGTTCGATTCATCATTATCATAGTCACCAGCGTGGCAAAAAACGAAAACAAACTCAGCAATGACGCATTTCGCGAAGGTCATGAAGACAGCTTGTCCGCACCAACTTCGACATTTAGAGTTGCATACTAAGTTCAACGTAGAAGCTGCTGGTTTGCTATCACAAGCAATTTTCTAACAGCGGTTGCACCTATAGAAGTTCCAAAAGGAAAACTGCATCGATTCAGCCTGACGCAGGTCAGCAAGCTGAAAACGGCGCAACCATTTTACACTCAAAGCGAACACACGGCACGCGTTGCAAGCACCAGATGCCAAGAACCGACACGCGGCCGAAGAAAACAGGATGAGGGCGCGAAAATTACACCCGCGCCGAGTGAGCGATGCAACATTTCTGACGGCCGAGGACGAGAGCGGCAATCGAACAATTCCCATACGAAGCAAAGATTGAGAGCCGTACCCATTGGTCAGTTCATCGAGGAACTTGCCATTGAGAGAATCACGCTCTGCTCCGTCTGATGAACATAACGTGAACTTGGAACCAGCGTGCAGCTCACCGTGCCGCCTCGTGCAGACCTGCCCCTTCGCTTGTAAAAGATCTCACACCAGACGAGCGCCAAAGCTTATATAATGCTTACTTAACTGATGAAACTGACTCATTACGTACATACATGCTCATTGTTAAGGGAGCACAAAGGGGAAGCCAACAGGCATTAGTCTCTTGAGTACGCTGTTGCTTATCGGAAAACCAACGATTTGGAGCTTCAATGATTGTGGGGAAACCCTATCATATTTACTTTCTATGGCACCATGACGACATCTGATACCAGGTCCATACGCCAAAATGCTGAACAGCACCTTGGTACAATGATGGTCCAGGTAGATATTTACCCGCGTTTTGACGACACAATGCTCTGATGCGGATAACGACAATTATGCCGACAAACTCCGGAGTCAGAGCTGCAACTCACGAAGAGTGCTTGGCATGCACCCTTCCTCAAGGACGCTAGGGTGCTGCGTAAGGTCGGGTCCATTAATTCTTCTTTCATTTCATTAATCCGTCTTTCACCAACTGCGTGGATTTCAACGCCCCAAATGCCAAGTCGTTTGGGGGCACCCCCGTAAGGAAGGTCCATGCCTCCAATTACACGTTCAACGAATTACAAGTCGACCACTGAAGCTGAAGAGCACCTGACAGACCCATTCATCATAATTTCAGGCAACAATGATGTTGCTAGATGCTTTTTTGGAACAGCCCCATGCCCCTATCATTGAAACTTTGCTGTTCAGAATCTCGCGACACGAGGTCGAGAAATCACGAGGTCAAAACGGAAAACAAGGGACAATATGAACTTCGCAAAACTTTTATGGTTCGACGCGGTTCGGACGATTGGAGATCAGATAAAACCGATTGTAGAAGCAGTTTTCATCAGCGCGGTACTCGAAACCAACAAAAAATTGCCACGCAACGCAGCCCGCTAAAAATGTGCCCGGTTAAAGACCGGTTACCTCAGTCTGACAATGGAGTTGGAGCTGCGCGATAGATCGAGCTCAAAATTCCACGGCTAGATTCCGCAGATCAGTTAGCCACGGCGACAAAACTCATGATCTGGGGGATGAAGGAGGGAGAAACCGGTCGATATACCGTGCAACTCGCTTGTCATCACCATGACACGTGACCTGTTCGTAGATCTGCTTCGTCATAACGGTCAACATGCCTGTTTTATTCGCAGACATAAAACCACAAAACACACACATATACACCGACGCCGATACCCACCCACCCACCCACCCACACATATCTATCTATCTATCTATCTATTTAAACATATATATATATACATATATATATATATATATATATACATATATACACACACACACATATATATATATATATATATATATATATATATATATATATATATACATATATGTGCATACCTACACAAGGGTGGCTGTATGCAATAGTTTGTCCCTTCCATTAGGGAGCGGCAGCTGACGACCGTTGGCGGGGGCGGGCTCGGGACACGGCCGTGTCTAGACAGCCAGCCAGCGGGCGCCCAGCCGGGCCGCCGTGTTTAGGACCAGACCCATATTTACGGGCTGTATCCACCTGCGCCCGCGCCTCCCATGAACCCGCCGCAGTATAAACAGTCTGCCGCGCGAGGCTTCGCGGCACGGTCGACCGGCGCCGAGGGGTGCGACCGGAACCGGGCACCTCCGGCGTCGGCCTATGTCGGCGCGTGGGCACCTTTGATAACTGATACGCAAAAGCATGCATCGCTGATACGAGGTGCGACAGAACACAGTAGGCTGACAGCAGACATCCAGCAATCCTTCGGACAGTTGGCGGGCGTCACATCACTGCCGCAGCCCAGACCGTCTACGTCAGATAATCAGCGCCACCGTCCAGAGGCCGGGGTGATGGGCAAGGTCACCCTGAGCACGGGCCACGAAGCTCTCTGGCGTAAAATCGCTCCGTGTGGGGAACGAGTACGCCGTAGAAAACAGCACGGCCTGTACAGAAGCTGAACGCTCTTTTTACAGGCACTCATCTCAACGGACATCAATCGATGTATTGAGTATACACACGATTGTGGGTTTCCGCCCTGACCCCCACCAACCATCCCCGGGGCTGGTCGCTTGTGGGCTGGACCCTGGAGGTCGCCCTGGAAACCGTCAGGAGCGGACCCAAGAGCCCGCTCCTGGCAACCGTCGAGAGGACTGAACAAGGCTCGCGGCCGAAACATCTGCCATCGGCGCCCGGCTGTTGCCACCTCCACCGCACGGCACACCGGCCATCGGCCCAGCAGACGCTATTCGTCGCATTATCGACCATCCAGCGGGCTCTCGTATTTTCCACAACCCAAGGGCCAGCGTTCCATTGACAGGCCTCCTACACGTTCGAGACGAGCTTGTACTGACCGTCCCTGAGGCCATGCACGTTAGCAGTGACACTGTCTCAAATATTTGATCCGTGACTCCTTTATTATAATAGCTTTTGGCGAACGTCGTCGGCACGCGTCTTGACCGGAGACTGGAATGCAACGCAGCGGGCGGTATAAATACTGTCATGAAACGTGCGCTATGTTTTACACACCGCCCTTATATGTACAGGACACTCATAAGCATACTCAGACAAACGTAGCGCAACACAGTCATTCCAATACCTCTTAACAACGCCGGCGACACTGCCCTGCGCGGCGGGTGCCCCGGTTCGGTACAGACGACCACACTTCTCCACCCTGTCGCCGAGCCCCAACAGCCAGGGGTCACCGGGTGAGTCGCACGATAAGTGAGCTTAATGTGGCGCACATGGATGCCATAATACGACCCAACTGCCGGGCAGCACGTGATCCGCAGCACGAAAATGGAAAACAGACAGCCCAGCAAACGGGCACATTCGACCGATACACTTTATTTGCATACATTTGCATAGCATTTGCGCAACGGGTCGCCTCTGACGAACGGCGACACACTGCGGTCGCCGACACTACCGCAGCGCGGTCCGGGCGCTGCCACCGGCGCGGCTGACGCCAACGGCACCTGCACCGGCGCACGCACCGGCGACACACTGCAGTCGCTGACACTACCGCAGCGCGGTCCGGGTGCGACCACCGGCGCGGCTGACGCCAACGGCACCTGCACCGGCGCACGCGCCGTCTCTGGATCACCCGGTGATCCCAGCGTGATTCTGGCCCTCCGATGGCTCTGGGACTCTCTGGATGCGCCCCAGCCTCGCTTTCCCGGTCTTGGCTCACAACACGCAGCGTGGCCACCCCGCCTGTGCCACGCTCCGGCCAGCAGTCCTCACGCATGTCACGCTCTGGCCTGCAGTCCTCACGCCTGCCACGCTCCGGCCTGAAGTCCTCACGCCAGCCATGCTCCGGCTCGCAGTCCTAACGCCTGCCACGCTCCAGCCTGTAGTCCTCACGCCAGCCACGCTCCGGCTCGCAGTCCTCACGCCAACCACACTCCGGCCTGCACTCCTTCCGCCTGCCACGCTCCGGCCTGCAGTCCTCACGCCAGCTACGCTCCAGCTCGCAGTCCTCACGCCAGCCACACTCCGGCCTGCACTCCTTCCGCCTGCCACGCTCCGGCCTGCAGTCCTCACGCCAGCTACGCTCCCGCTCGCAGTCCTCACGCCATCTACGCTCCAGCTCGCAGTCCTCACGCCAGCCACACTCCGGCCTGCACTCCTTCCGCCTGCCACGCTCCGGCCTGCAGTCCTCACGCCAGCTACGCTCCGGCTCGCAGTCTTCCCTCTTGCCACGCTCCGGCCTACAGTCCTCACGCCAGCTACGCTCCGGCTCGCAGTCCTCACGCCAGCTACGCTCCGGCTCACAGTCCTCACGCCAGCCACACTCCGGCCTGCACTCCTTCCGCCTGAAGCTGTGGCCGGCAGTCCATGGCCCGCCAGCTGGCTGGCTGGCTATTTCAACACTGTTACCTGGTCTGCGGTGGGCCACGTGAAAGCCCCATGACTCGGCGTCTATTCCGGGCCTCCGAGTCCGCTCCGAGACCCTGAGTCTGCCCGTGACTCGGAGTCCGCCGGCGCTGTCCTCCACCCGCCAGTACACTCCACTCAGAAGTCGTCCGGATCGTTATCCAGCTCCCACAGCTGCGGCAGACGGGGGTTGACGAGTTCAGCGACGTCACCCAGCCTGGAGAACGACCCGACGGCCGGCCGTGGGGCGGGACAGCACCGAGACGCGCCGACGGGCCAGAGACGAGGCCGGCCGCCCTCCGGCACAATGCCCGGGCAGGCGGCGCGCACACGTGGCCGCGGCCGAACATGTCAACACACGGGACCTGGCGGCCACTCGCGGGCGGTGAGCAATCTAACTCGAGGGAGGTAGCGCTTAGGAGAAGTGGGGGGAGGGAGAGAGACAGCGCCTCTCTGGACGCAAGCGGGACATATCGGGGCGTTTGCTTTATATGTGCGGTCTACCCTGACAATCATGCGGTGGAGGTCATAACGCTAGCGGTCCCGTGGAACAAGTTGACATGCTCTGGGAGTAAGGATACTCCAAGCCCATATTTTTTTCCGCACGGCATATATCTGCTATATAAAACAATCGATGTTCTGCAGCACCGAAGACAATATAGCACACACGAATGTTCTGTAGGGAATTCAGTTTTATCGAACGAACCAATGATCCTACAGAGCCGCAGAACGTCAAGGGGACGGCTGACGGGTACGCTTGAACAACTCCACCGCAGCCCGCAAATTCTAACGACCAAACGTAGGTCTAGAACAGGATTAAAACGCCTAAACAGCGATAGGTTTCTACCGATACTTAATCATCTTAACTGTAGCGTATGGTCGCGCAAAGCTTACACAACGTTTACCGCAAAACGTTTGGAAGCCTTTCGCTTACTCAGCAACTGCGTTACTTCCGCTTCAAACGTCAAAACCTCTCAACGTCAACCCGATGTGTGTGGTGTGTTCGCCACCTTCAAGTGCCTCAGCGGCCAAATCTTGATCACGGCACCGTGCCGGTGCCGTGATCAGCTGCGTGCGGTCATCGGCAGCGGCGAACCGGCGCGTCGCTGCTCCCCGGCACAGCGGGGGAGTGCGTGTCACCGTCAGCGCTGCTCTGCGGTGAGCCGGCGCGTCGCTGCTCCCAGGGGCGGCGGGGAGCGCGTGTCACCGTCAGCGCTGCTCGGTGGTGAACCGGCGCGTCGCTGCTCCCCGGCACGGCGGGGAGCGCGTGTCACCGTCAGCGCTGCTCGGTGGTAAACCGGCGCGTCGCTGCTCCCCGGCGCGGCGGGGGAGCGCGTGTCACCCTCAGCGCTGCTCGGCGGCGAGACGGCGCGTCGCTGCTCCCAGGGGCGGCGGGGGAGTTCGTGTCACCGCCAACGCTGCTCGGCGGCGAGCCGGCGCGTCGCTACCCCCCCGGCACAGCGGGAGAGTACGTGTCACCCTCAGCGCTGCTCGGCGGCGAGACAGCGCGTCGCTGCTCCCAGGGGCGGCGGGGGAGTTCGTGTCACCGCCAACGCTGCTCGGCGGCGAGCCGGCGCGTCGCTACTCCCCGGCACAGCGGGGAAGTGCATGTCACCGTCAGCGCTGCTCGGCGGTGAGCCGGCGCGTCGCTGCTCCCCGGCACAGCGGGGGAGCGCGTGTCACCGTCAGCGCTGCTTGGCGGCGAGACAGCGCGTCGCTGCTCGGGAGAACGGCGGGGGAGTGCGTGTCACCGTCAGCGCTGCTCGGCGGCGGGCAGTGGACGTGACGCTAATTGTTCATTGGAATGGATGCAGTTCGTCATGCAGTCAGATGCATTCTTATACTTGCGTCTTTTTTCTCATTTTCCGTGTCTTGTATTGCTGTCTTCTGATGTCAGCGTCAAGACCTCCTCTGTTCCTTAGCACTGATTTGTTTATTAGCTCATGCAACGAAGATGTCATGCTCGCCCCACATTGTGCCAATCGACGAAGGCTAAGCCCGTTTTTCCCCTTAATACACCACCTACGGCGGAATCCGGTAATGCTAATCAGCTAATTGCAATCGTCGATATCGTCATTGGTTTGTGTTTCGTGTGACGATAACTCTGTTTTGGGAAGCCTATTGGTAACCGAGAAAGGTGACGCACAAGGCAATTTACGGGGCCAGTCGAACACAGCGGCACTATGGCCCACACCACACAGTTGGCCCAACTATGCAACTAGAACCAAGCGAGGCCAATTGCCTCAGCCGCCAATTTTGGCATTCCAGTTCTGTGACTATTACCAGTGCATGTCAAACAACACCGCATCAATTGTCAACAAAATGTTCTCAGCACGCTTTCGACGTACGCCAGATGTGCGGGCTTAACGCGTTACGACGCACGCCAGATGCACGGGCCTAACGCGTTACGACGCACGCCAGATGCACGGGCCTAACGCGTTACGACGCACGCCAGATGCACGGGCCTAACGCGTTACGCTGACGGTGAACCTTCTTCTTGTCGTTTCGTTGAGGATCTATCAGGCTTGGGCTTGATCGCGTGGTTGAAAAAGGTAACGAAAGCGAAGGCATTGGAATTTACGAACACACCCCGCTTAAAATGACATACAAATAATCATCTTCCCCCATATACCGACATAATGACCATCACCGCGTCCTGCACTAGTACCAACACCACCAACATTAGTGTTATAGGCATCCCCCCCCCCCCCCCTTAATGAGATCTGGAGTACGAGCTGTGCCAATGCACTTCGCGAAGGTATTGGGAAACCTCGGGTCAAAACACGTATTTACATGACCTGATAGCCCCACACTAAATCCGGCTCATACCCAATGACCGCTGCGAGTGAGACGGAGAAGGAGGGGCCCAGCAGAGGAGTGGTGTTAGTTCCCACCCATGCTAATCGGACCTAAACTGGTCCTAAGCCACACTCAGGAAATGCCGCCCGGCGCTGCACATCGCGGAGAGCGACCTCAGCCGGCGAACACCGACAGGCATGCGGCTCGCCACTGCCCAAATGAACTCGCATCTCGAGCATCAACACTGCGCCTGCACGATTTCCAGGACGGGACGTGTGGCTGAGCTAGTCTTTGCCAGGGAAATGACACAAGAAGACGACATGGACGCCCTAGAACAGCCATGGGCTGCCAAGAACCTCACGTTATTCCCGCGATGCTCTGAAAAGTGCTGGGAGGCGTCGTTGTTTTGCACGTGAATGACATTGGCAGTTAGCATTGTGACGACAATTGTTTGCTAGTCATGACTGTTCAGATATGATATAGCCGAGACCGACACCCAATGACTGAGCTCCGCGTCAGGCGCCGCGGGTTTTCACACTGCTGATGCCCGAGTGCATGGAGACTGCAGCGCCCGTCGGAAGGTGAATGCTCTCTAGAACCGCTCGTGCACCATACCCAGAAATCTAAAAGAATATCTTTTGAATTGCAAACCCCGCGCACATCCACGCGCACACGAAATGACCACTGTAAAGCCATCTTTGACAACAATTTCAACGACAATCCGTAATTGCCGTTCCGTCATAACTGATGCTGCCATGAACGAAGCAAGCTGCCGCCCCAGGGAATTGCGCTAATCGCGACCGATCACGAAACGGGAAAGGGGCGTGTGTGTGTGCACGTACCTCTGTGGCCTCAGTGAGCTGCTGCAGCTCCGTCAAGCCAGTCAGATCCTCCAGATAGCCCGACCGGTTGAAAACCTTCAGCAGAAACTCCTCACCCTCTTCTCGGTATTTTGCAAGCACCTGCAACCAGAACGGCGCTATCTGAGCTTTGCACGAATGCAAAAAGTGACCGAGAAGTATGTCCATAAGACCAGGGGTTCATGCGCGCATAGATTGGGTAGTGCGTTAGTGTGGGAGCAAGCTATGTGGGTCTTCAAACCACGCGTATGCATACATTTTCTAAAATTCATTTTGTGCCTGGCGTAAGTCGTGCGCTCATGCATATGCGCATCATTCGTAACTTGAGATACGCACGTGCAACCACGCGCGAGCACTCTCCGGCCATGCGCCCTGCCATCACTCCGGTCTAGGTATTTGATGAAAAAAGTATGTGGACCTTTACAGTAAAAGGCGCATATAAAAATACCTGGCCTTGCATGCGAACAAAGATGTGCATACAAGAACTGGGTGAGCGGAAAAATAGCCAGCGCGATCCCGCGGTGATAGCGATGGCTCACTGATAAGCCACAAGTCACGACTCCAGACATTCCGAGCACGGCCTTTTCATCACCTCGCCATCGATGTATAACTGTACAACCATGGAAGCTCAAACGGAGCCGCGCCCTCGCCAGCAATGACAACTGCATGACGAGCAGAGAAAGATGGCCCGGGTCCCTTTCCACCAGTGCGAACAGGGCCCCTAGCGACACGAACTCATTCGGGCCATCTCGGTGGGGACCACTCATCTGGCCTTTCGATGACACACATTTCTCATTGATTGAATCGTTCCAAACTGGCTTATTGAAATAGCTTCACAGGACATTGACTCGTACAGGTGTCGAGGGCCCGAAAACGTGGCTTTATAGCCCAGCACCGTCTATGATGTTCCACCACTCGCCACCGGCCGAGAGAATGAAATGCAACCTCTCCTAGTCACCTATAACCTCACCGTACAGTTGGGATAGTTAAAATGGAAAGCAAAGGTAACCAGTAGCCCAAGCTCGCCGGGGACCGATGAGTTGGCATCTGCCACCTAGCTGGTGATGTCACATATAGCACCGAATATCTCTTAAATAAACAAAAACTTAAAAGAACTCTCCAGGGCCCTTTGGAATCAGTAACATCACTAGCACGTCGGGGCCCTCTGGAACCAATAACATCACTGGCATGCATGTGTAACCAGAACCATACGGACGAGGCTGTTCTTGTACCTCAAAACATAATACCAAGGTGTCAAAAACGATCAATGGCTGCGGTCCGGCCCATCCTGGCTAAACACCAGGTCGCATGATCGGGTAAGACTATTCTACCCTCTCGCTTCATGATAGCGTACGTCTAAGGGCCATTGGTTTGGAACTCTGTCATTTGCCGACTTTGCATCACAAATAGTCGCAACCTATTATTTCCATTCCACGCGTATTATTTAGTCTGACATGACCTCTGATGATCACGTGGTACGGTCTGGTACGCTGTGATTGACCCCGTCTGGCAAACGAGGCACATCCACATCCTCGATGCGCATCAAGGGTTGATCACTGATGAAAACGTCATTCATCACAGCCAACCAAAACGAGACAGGAAACTGAAAACTCCACACAAGAACTGGCCTGCAATCATTCAATATTGATGCGGTATCTGTGACCGAACATGCAATCAATTTCGCCCGAGTGATTGAGATAGCCCATTGTGAACTCGATGAGCCTGCCTGGTGCGATTCGGAAGTTATTCCAGAAACACGGAAAGGCGAGTTTCTTTCAACTTCCCACACAGCCGCCCATTGACACAGGTGTGAATAGTGGGACCTGCACTGAAACCAGCCTGTCGGATCTCAGGGTCATCAGGAAAGAACCGCAGCACCAGGAGAAAAAAGCAGGATGGTCCGAGAAGCCTCTCATCACAGTAGAAGCAGCTGTACATAAAGCCGTCGCGAAATCACGGTCGACAAGCGACACCAGCGCCGCAACAAGAACAAAACACCCAGAACTGGAGGCCAGCCACCAGAACCTCATTCTCCAGCTGCTGAGTGTTGCAGGAGCCTAGTGCAGTCGCAGCTACTCTCATGCTTACAACATCTGCATGCTGTTCGCAGGAGGACGTCTGCGACACACTGCCGTATGCTCGAAGAAACCCACGGGACCGAACGCTACATCCTGTCAGGTGACGTGCAAGGAGTTAGTCGCATCTTTGTCAATTTTATCTTGAATTGTGATATTTTCCCGGACTCGCATGTCTCGTGCTGTTCGCATAAGGCTGCTTACCTTTGGCGGTGTTATAAACGTTTGATCCGTTCCGGAAAAACCGTTACAAAAACGCTGCAACACGTGCACGAGAGTGGTGCAGCATGTGTTTTAAGCTGCTCGCGAAATATTTTTGATGTGTTCCTCTGTTTTTTGTCTGTAAACTGGCTCCGGGTCAGACCGAATGTTGCGGAGAGGGCTGTATTGAGGATGCCAAGAGCACACGGACCAGCCCAGGAGTCAGCCCACGAGCGCACCGACCGACGAGGGCTGCGGAGTGCTAGCCGCACGTGCAGCCCTTGTTGGGCTGCGGAGTGCTGCCAGCGCGGGCGAGTAGGTCCCGGCCGGCTGCAACGGGAGGTGTTCGAGCACGTCTGCCTCCATACCCCTGCCTCCACATGCCCTGCCCCTCCACATCCCATCCCCTGCCCCTCTACATCCCATCCCCTGCCTCCACATCCCTCTCCTACCTCCACATCTGTCGCCCCTCTACATCCCATACCTTGCCTCCACATTCACTGCCCCTCCACATCCCACACTCTGCCCCTCTCCATCCCATCCCCTGCCTCCACATCCCCTTTCCTACCTCCACATCCCTCGCCCCTCCCCATCCCATCCCCTGACTCCACATCTCTGTCTCCACATCTCCTTTCCTACCTCCACATCCGTCGCCCCTCCACATCCCATCCCCTGCCTCCACATCTTCTTTCCTACCTCCACATCCGTCGCCTCTCCACATCCCATCCCCTTTCCAACCTCCACATCCGCCGTCCCTCCACATCCCCTCTCCTGCCTCCACATCCGTCTCCCCTCCCCATCCCATCCCCTACCTCCACATCCGCCGCCCCTCCACATCCCATCCTCTGCCTCCACATCCCCTCTCCTGCCTCCACATCCCTCTCCCACCCCCACATCCCATCCCCTGCATCCACATCCGTCGCCCCTCCCCATCCCATCCCCTGCCTCCAAATCCCCTCTCCTATCTCCACATCCGTCGTCCCTCCACATCCCTCTCCCACCTCCACATCCGTCGCCCCTCCCCATCCCATCCCCTGCCTCCAAGTCCCCTCTCCTGCCTCCACTTCCGTCGCCCCTCCCCATCCCATCCCCTGCCTCCAAATCCCCTCTCCTACCTCCACATCCGTCGCCCCTCCACATCCCTCTCCCACCTCCACATCCGTCGCCCCTCCACATCCCATCCCTTGCATCCACATCCGTCGCCCCTCCCCATCCCATCCTCTGCCTCGAAATCCCCTCTCCTGCCTCCACATCCGTCGCGCCTCTCCATCCCATCCCGTGCCTCCACATGCGCTGCCCCGTCAGCCGGCCCGTCTGCTGTCGTACCGGGCCGGAGCAGGCGGTGCAGCGGGGGAAGGCGAGCGTGGCGGGCGTCAGCTGCTGCAGCGGGCCCAGGAAGCCGCGCACGCTGTGAGGCACCGAGCCGAGCGGGCCGGCAGTGGCCGCCTCGGCGCCGTCCGACCGCGGGCTGACCGGCGCGCCGTCCCTAAAATAACGCCACCGAAGGCAGGTCAGACGGATCGGCGCTTGGGCTGGACTCCCGCCGCTCCGTACTGAACAGCGAGCGGCCAGACCCCGGCAACAGCGCCGGCTCCGGCCCGCACGGTGAACAACACAGCTGTCGCGTTTTGGCGAAGCCGAACACCTTTTGCAAGAGGGTTTATCATGCACGTCTTATACAAGTGTGTGGCCAGAAGCCCAACAATCCTGATGCAGCACTGAGATGACAGTGTGGTAATAAGTCAAGAGAGCTCGGCAATCCAAGCTTTTTTGGCCACACATCTGGGACGCTTTGATGCAGCAGAAGGTTTCTGCTCAGCCCGTCCCACTCAGACCACCTTTACAGGTTAGCAATGTGCTTTGTATGTCGTGCTGAACATCCTCAGTCCATAACAGAGCAGTCATTTATCACAGAGGCCGGTAGTGACCGACTTTGCTTCTGACACGGCAATGAGCAAACTACCGAATACGGGTTGCGGAAATACTCCCACAAGTTACACCGCACTGACTCTGCCTAAGGAATTTGAACCATGGTTCAAGCCACGGTTCATATGCCTCAGGCCAAGCCTGGACGGGACATGCCATAAGGTGCCCAGTGCACAAGGCACGTGTTCTATGAGTCCATAACGAACAAGGCCGCCGGTCGAGCAAGTCTCATTTAAGCCAATAAAATCTGCAATGGGGAGAACCGTCCTGTTACGGTCCGGTCGCCCGCTTTCCAAGAAATAACACTTCTGCAAGAACTGATCATAGTCTCACGCGGTTTCAGCAATATCCTGCATAAGTTACTGTGAGTTACTTATAGGCATGAGTACCGGACCGATCTCAGCTTCCAGCAGCCTGAGGACATAAAGACGTGGAACCATGCGCGGTGTAGGTGCATGCATTGCCCACAAATGATTGGGCGATCTCATCACTGTCCATGCCGCACATTGGCCAGCCATCGAACGACAACGGTCACCATCACATTTGCCGGCACGACATCGCCGCGTGGCATGGGCGAGGCGATAACACATGAGCACTTTGTCAGTGGCACTTGCTCATGCGGTGGAACAAATAAGTAACGGGTCCGAGAGACTTAGTTGTTTTTGAACCACATTCGTGCACGAACACGTCTTCGATCGCGGGGCGGCGTGCATGTGGCGCCGCACAAACGTGGTTTTAAAAGAGACTTAGCGGTCGACCATACACAAAGACGCCTTAGCACTGCGGCATCGTATTTCCCATCAATGTGCAACAAGCATTCCACATCCAAATAGCATCTGATGCATGTCCGCAGCTCTGGCGCCAACGTCGTCAGAGGAGCCGGTCGGCAGAGGCGCTGCTGGCGCTGTCAGCCGGGCAGAGGGGGCAAGCCGCCACCGGCACATGTCAGCGCTGGGCAGGACACGGCAGAGGAAGGTGTACCGGCCATGGACAGGGCAGGCAGGACAGGGAAGGCAAGCAGGGCAGGGGAGCCCGGCATGACACAGGAGGCGGACAGGGCAAGGGGCGGACAGGGCAGGGGGCGGACAGGGCAGGAGAGGTTCGCGGGCAGGGCAGGGGAGGCCCGCAGGGCAGGGGAGCTCGGCATGACGAAGGAAGCGGACAGGGCATGGGGCGAACGGGGCAGGGGAGGCCGACTCGCGGGCAGGGGACGCCGATCCGCAGGCCGGGTGAGGCCAGCGGGCAAGGGAGGCCAGTTGGGCAGGTGAGTCGCGCAGGGGCAGAGGGCCCGCGGGGCTGGGGAGACCGGCTGCCACCACGTCAGCGCACGTCAGCGCGTCAGCCGCGATAAGCGGACCGGTCCTAGACAGCGTGATTAAAACGTCTCGGATGCCACCGGCGGCGCGCGGATTCCGCCTCGGCCACTCCTCAAAACGGCACGCGACGGACGGGTCGGCGGCGCGGCTAGGGTCACGAGGGCACCCCGGCCTGCCAGGCGAGCTGTGCCCGCCGGCGGCGCGGCTGGGGTCACGAGGGCACCCCGGCCTGCCAGGCGAGCTGTGCCCGCCGGCGGCGCTGCTGGGGTCACGAGGGCACCCCGGCCTGCCATGCGAGCTGTGCCTACCGGCGGCGAGCGGCACGAGGCCCGAGGAGGTGGCTCAGCCGCACCCCTGGCGGACAGCGCCAGGGCAAGGTCGGCAGACTCGCGCGACACTACCATGAACAAACGGCACCGATGCATCTACACCGACCGGCCCGGCGAATGACGCCATCCACCGCCTTCCAGCGCACCCTGCCACCATCTGAGGATCGCGTCCCTGAGAAGGCGCGGCCTCCGCACCGACGGCGGGGGCGTTACACAGCGGCCGCCGCCGCCGCCGGGCCCCGCTCGTCGGGAAGTTGGGCGCAGTGACGACTGCCGCCAGGGCCGCGGCGCTTCAATTTGGGAGCGCCACGTGTCGTCCGAGCCTCGACTGCCATAACGGGAGTGACGGAAGAGCTCAGGATGAAGCGATCTGGCAGCCGACCAAAGGCTGACGACAGCTTACGACGCGGCCGACAGCTGCAGTCCGTGACGGTTACGAATTAAGGCTGCTGACCGATCCTGCTTGCAGTGAGGTCTCATCTTCAGGTCACGCTGTTTTGCATGTCTGCCCCACATGCCATCGCTCGTATCATTTTGCGGCATGTGATACCCTGCACACCAAGGCCAATATTATTTAAGCTTCTTTAAATTTTTCTGACTGTAATCCCGCACCTGCTTCGGACCACTTCCGGAAGAAATGTCTGCAATCCGTCCAGACCGGTTACGGTCCACATGCCTATGATTAATTGCAGATTCCGCATAACTTGTGCACACGTTAATCCAAGCGGGGTGTTATCTACAGCTGGCTGCCAAGGTCACCCGCCAGCACCTGCACATTTAACAGGAATGAACCAGCCCACACAATTTCTTCCGTTCGATTTAATCTCAAACGAGGCAGTGTACTAATTACAAAAAGCCGTTTCAGCCGAAAATATCGTCCGGAATATTGCCGCTTCCGAAATACCTCAACAACGTTTTAAAATTCGGTGTGTTACGCGGAGAGCGACCCAATGGAGTGTCACATTAGCTCCCTATCGTTGCCTGCTTTTCATGATTGCATACCTCAGATGAAAGGTGACGCCGTTCAGGCCACCTATTTAAAGGGAGCATCCCACCTTTTTTGTACTTTTCCTTAGTTTTAGACCAGCCGCATACGATTTGATGAGTAATACCAGTTTTTCTATATCCTTCTGACTAGCTCAGAATTTCGATTTCAAGAAGCCGTTCCAGCGGGAGAAATCTCACTAGACACCCCGCTCACCGCTATAAAAGTATTACATTTCATTTGCCCTGTTTTTTCCTCCGTGTGTTCTGTGACGTTTGCAACGCACTTATCTGTCAAAACGTATGTGCAATAAATGCCACGAAAGCTTGAAACACTTTGTTTAGACAAGGTGTGCAAACATCAAGCTATTATTCCGCGAATTAAGCGAAACGTTATACTTTGGCTTTGATTTCTACCCTATGGCGTTTACCGCACGGGCTCTTTTCGAGGCGCACGTTGGCTTTGAAAATGGGAGTATCACATGCTCCATGTTCAAATTGGTTCTGGTCCTGGTTCGGACTGGTTCACACTTCAACCAACCAACTTCTCGGTAACAGGCGCTTGCCCGCATCAGGCCAATCAGAAATGTTCTTTTATTCGCAACAGTGGAGGTGCGCACGATGGTTGCCGTGACGGCGGAGGTCACCACTGCGGGGAAGAAGGGCAATTCTGTTGCAAAGCGTCGGCAGGGTAATTTGAACTCGAAGGCGTGACTGCTTCTGTGGTTTACTAGAGTATGTTTGTGAAATATGCCCCAAAGGTGGAACACTCCCTATAACGCTTCTGTGTAGCCTTTGTGTTACATAAGTACAAACTAAATATTTCATGGCTAGATAGGCTACTAAATATCACAGATAAACGGAAATTCATGAACATTGTGCAACTGAACAACGCCTCTCGTAAACCACCTTCGTCCCACTATCTTTGTTCGTGACCACGGAACATCAAAGCTTGCCGTTCAGTGGGAGATCAAAGTCGTGAGCCGGCTTAAACATCATCCATGTGATTTTGGAACCATCCGGAAAGTCAAGCAGCTTACAAAATGGCACATCTCACGGGCAGCGTGTAAAATATTAAAGCATACAGTCGAAAAGTCTACGCATTGGTAAGAACTGGCACAACCGATATCTAATCTTCTTCTCATTTGTACATTTAGTTGTTTGGTTTGGATTATAGCCCATTCGGCCTGTAGCAAGGATTAACAGTACACAAGCAAGCAGTTCACACCCTCCTCCGCTTATGGGATGGATAAGAGTGTGTACTGGTAGGGCAAAACCACGCACTGCAACACATCTGGAAGTCGTCCGCAGAGCCTTAGCCCGCACAGGGAGCCCTCCATGGGGCTCGAGCTCGGCGCTCGGACGGGGGGGGGGGGGGGCACATACACCCACTCATGGTAAGTGCATGCAAGTCTGCTCCAGAAGAATGGGACAATGCGGGAATGCAGGACGAAGCGTGATTGAGAAAACAAGAGCGAATGACACTCATCCTTGCGTATCATTACTTGCTACCGCCACTTCCAGCTGGTTCTGCACATCCGCTGCACCACCAGTGCATCTGGTGGACGGCACACAAGGCCAGACCAGGCTTCGGATGCTCGGACCGACATACTGGTTATTTACATCGAGGCAGATCATAGTGAGGTTTCACACCTTTCTGTTGCGTATGGCACACTAAGAACCCACCCTTCGATCGGCGGCCCGCGCGCAACAGCGGCCGGCTACGTCCCTGGCGGCGACCGGGCGCACTAACCGTTGGGGATGCTGCAGCAGGGCGGCGGCCAGCTCCACGGCCAGGCCGGCGGCCACCATGCTGACTCCGGGCCGGCTCACCGTACACTGCTGGTCCAGCGTCCGGTCGTGAACAGACTGCCGGCACAAACACAGGCGGACGTGCGCTCGGTCTGCCACATGCTCGGATTGTATCCGTGCGTTGTTTTTTGTCCACGCTTGTATGGGTTAACTTACATGCTGACTGTCCAAAAGGGTTACTGGAAGTGGGACCAGCTCCACTTCGGTAGGCATTTCTCCACCAGTCATGCCATGGAACGATGGGACAATGCTGCACTGTACACGCAACGTCCTTCCAGTTTCTTTGCACGGTAGGAAAAACAGGATTTTTAACTGTATCATATGCATTTATATACAAAGAAACAGAAAAGAGGAGACATAGAGCCAGTGAGGAAAGCACGGAGGAGGGAGAACAAGCAATCAAGAGAGCGATAAAGATATATCACCCCGTTTCTTACGTTACAAATGATTTGCATGTATAACAGACATGAAACTCATCATCCAAAAGCCGAGCACTTGCTGATACAACGCGGGCATTTCATGTAGAAACCCATCCGGGACTCTCTGAAATCTCGTTTTATTAAATTTTACCGAAATTCAAGCTTCCCGGCGCAATGACAGTTAGAATTTGGTCATCAGGTTTCTTATTCGGTGATATCTGCAATTCTATTTTAATGATTACTTTATGGGTATTGTTATAGCATGCACGTTCAGTCCCGCTTGCAATGAGTGCATTTGGCTTAAGCCACTCTCCACGCCGATGTATTTCACTGCGCTTTCAATCCAGAGGCTGCCGCTGATGCCTACGCCTCTACGGACCTGTCGGTCCGCGCTGACCGACTCGCTGTTGGATCGAGGGACCATTAGTTCTTTGCGTAACCGTGGAATGGTCAACCTGATATAATTAAAAACTATCGAGCATCTTGGCCTTGTAGCCTATGACAGAAATCCAAGCGTTTTTAAACCCACCGCTGACGCAAAATGTATCCATTGGGTCTTTGATCCAGCGTTAGGTCATGTTTTAGCAGCAGACGGTTGTGCAGCAGCAGCAGTTATGCCGGGGGATGTAATCACCCCGGATGCCCAAATGACGACGCAGTTTACGTGCCCTCTGACCTGGCATCAGTGCGGTAGAATTATTCAATGTATAATGCTGGAAAACTGGAAATTGGTCGATATTAAGGATTGTGTTTCATTCGCATCAGCATCGGGTACCAAAAGGCGGTACTGGAACGGTACGGGACAGAAAGCTATAAGCACACTGGGCTGCACTGGGTTCAATGAAAAATCGGTACCGACGCTGGCAGCCAAAGGTCGCAGATGCTTAGCCGAGCATCTAAGCGCTGTGAAAAACACTATGAAAACATAGTTAAAGACGGTACCATACGTACAATAGTTATTTCAGGCATTGCCTGCACCTCTTCGGATAACGTTCACGTTCTGGCAAGCTTCGATATGTTGTGGGCCAAGAGACCGAAGCTTCCGCTCCATAGTTTCATGAATGTCACCTTAAAAGCATCCGCTAGTAGTCATTTCCATTCGTCCACGACATGCGTAAGAATGAAAGCGAACAGGACACTGCTGTAACATGACGCTACGCATCGCCCACGCATTGTGTTGATTTATGTTGATATTGTACCGTTTAGAGGGTTCCAGTGGTCCCAGTCACCATCAAAAGCAAACAGAAATAGGTTGAACGTCAGACAAAATGCTGTGATGGGCAGCACCACAAACAAATGGAATAAGCTGCCGTTAAAACGTTCATAAATTGCAAACGTTCGGGGGAAAATAAAATTAACTCCGGACATAACATCCATACTTGAAAAAATCAAATCTGCATCAGAAATGCGAGCCATTACGAAACATAGCCTAGTGCGTTTTAGCACACTTATATCGGTGGATCACACTTCGACTTTATTTCACACAGTATGTGACTGATACGGAAAATCATAAATCAGTCCAGTGATGAAGGGTAACATTACGTTATATGAAATCTCGAAAGAAGAGTACGCCACTGGTCCATCCCAAAATGGGCTCAGCCTTCGCTGCCCCACGCGGTAACGCCCTGCCCACGGCGCGGACCGTGTCATTTCAGTCACGCAGAACGCCGATGCCCTACCCTTTCCTACTGCAAGTCATTTACAATCTTACTGAAGCAGAGAAAAGACCTTTAACAACATGTGCGTCTATGTATTATGTTCATCTGTCCTTTTTTAAAATACAGACCGAGCCTTTTCGTTAGATGCATTTCTGGAATCAGAACCCAAGTCAAGCAGTCCTTATCGCGTCAGCCCGTCACCAACCGCTCGTAAAATTCCAGGTCAATAGCATAATTTTGCCGCGGAATTTTAACGTCCCGCAACGCTCTGACGTCACCTGACCAGCCGCACGGACGCTGCCGCCGGCCATTCGTCAGGGGCAAATAGCGAGTGCCCCAAGTCCGTATTCGCGCTTTACCATTTTACAAATTCGGGGATGTGATAGACACTTAGTTTAACACTCGGGTGGAGGTGGGGGGGGGGGGGGGGGGGGGGGCATTTTGCCCCTCCAACAACGGTTTTTCCAGAATAACTTCCGAACGGCGCGGCCAGTATAAAAGCAGATGCCTTTCACAAGGCACACCTCTCCCCCACTCCCGGAGGACGGCCATCGCCGGCAGGGCGCAGTGTGTACCGGCCGACTGGGCTGCGCTCCGCAGCGAGCTGGTGCTCCGCGGCAACCGCAGGCACCAGAGGCGCTCAAGCTGAAGCTGTGACAGCTGCCGCACGACAGCACCAGCCTTCCGCTCCAGCGCTGCGGGGTCACACCGCGGAGGCTCTCCCGTAGCGTTTACTCGAGGCCGTCGGCTGGGCGGTGCACGCTGCCCATTAAGAGAGGAGCTCCGTCGGCGGCAGCAGATCGAGGGCACACCCGGGGCGGTCACACGGTGCTGGAATCACTGGCCGCTGCTAGCGGACCTCGCTGCAGGGCCCAGGTTCGGCAGCGCGCAGACATGGCGCGGGTGGGTTCCATTGTCCGGCAGTTGTCGTACTTGGCCGCCCAAACTTCGCAACACCACAGGTTGCGATGGAACGAGCCATACGGGTTCCGTGAGGTTAACAATTGATATTGCCCGGAAGAATCAGGGCTCTGGGTTAATTCACGGAAGAGCGCCGACTGCCAGATGACAGTAAACTAGCGAATGCTTTCATATCACACACGAAATAGCATTGAAACAAGCACGCATAACGCCCGGGCGTGATTTTGCAGTTATTTCTTTGCAATGCGAGACAGTGTCCCGCCAAACTCAGCTTGTAATAATGTTATGACATTGAAATCACTTGTCACGAAAATACGATATCACTGCTGGCTCAACGGAATTCACATCCAAACATCTCGTTCATCTACCAGCGTGCAGTCGCAGATGCCACTTTCCCATCGATTGCCGCGGTTAGGCAGCTAATGCCGTCCAGGCCTACGTGCTCGGTCAGTCACGTCGTGTTTGTGCACGTTTCCTGCACGTCGAAAGCGGCGCCCGATAAAAGCAGTTGTTTCATACTGGCGTTCAGGTCAGCTGGCCGACGGCCCACCTTAACCTTGCAGTATGTTGCAGGTCACCTTTAGCACGCCTCCTGCATCCTCGTCCAAATTCACTGCGCTGACGCGGGGGTCAACACCGCGCAGCCAAGCACTGCGCTGCAGGCAGCTCAGCAGTCAACGGCGGGGGTTCCAAATACACATTGTTTGACAGCAAACGCTGCCACCCAGCTCGTGGTCCCTTGGTTCCAGCTGTGCCTTGACTCCAGCTTCCACCGACAACCTGTCCTTGGGCATCACCAGGACGGAGGTGGCTCTGTTGGCTCGGTTCGTTGGCCACCCGACTATGGCTTACATGCTGATGTTGATTTTCCAGATGCTTGTACTGTACGCCTGGTTCTGGATGTTTTCTTGTCGTTAATTCTTTGCATAAAGCTTTTCTTTCTCTTCCTTCGGATGGATGGTTCTATCAGCAGTTTCTCCCACACTAGTATGAAGGGCTCTTGTACCTAAATTCTTTAGGAATGACATTTTTCGGAGCCCCTCGACGCCGACGTTGGCACCCGTGTTTCCGATCTTGAGGAATAACAGGTGAGTTCTGCAGGTGTTACATGTGCCCGGTGGATTTCTGATCGCCTCTGGGCTTTCCAACGTTGCCTTTCCGGAAGCTAGCGAACTCTTCGGAGAACCGTTACAGGAAATGATCCACAGTGCGGTACTTTACGGAAGCAAACGGTACAAAACTGCCGTTCGCAACAATCGTGACCGTAGGGTAAGTGTGGCATGTTCCACCGTTAGGCGAAACAAGCCACACTTAACTTAGCGCCTTCCAAGAATTGCCCATCGGCACGACTAACACGGCAGAGATGCGAAGAGGTGCTGACGATACCTGGCGGTCACCGGCGGCACAATCAGGCACAGCCGAGTCGGCACGAAAACAGCTTGACGTCAAAAAGTGTACGGACGTTTGGCATCGATAAAGAAGGCTAGCATACTTGATGGGTTTTAACCATGTCATGTTCACCAGTCCACGGTTGTGCCACGAACTGATCGTCCTTCGGTCCGACAGCAAGCGGCCAGCTTGGACTGACACGCTGTTAGGGGCGAACACATCGCGGTAATCACGGAACTCAAAACCTTAGTAAAGACACCTGCGTGGTTGAGTGGCTGAAGCTCAATCGCACTCAACGCAACTGCGGCAGAGCATGCGTGCTAAAACGGCAGATGATATTGCGCAGGACATCAACTACGAACAGATGTGAAGCATAACAAACGAATGGAAAAACCGTTCCAACGCCGGGAAAGTTATCAGGGGCTGGCTTTCGATGGAAACAACGCGATCTGTGCAATGGTCAGGGTAAATTATGCTAAGAATTGCACGCGGTTCAAATCAGGCTCAGTTTTCGAGTGGTGTGTTCAGACTTGTAGCAAATTCCGACCGCTTAACAAAGCGCGACCAGAACGACGGAAAAAGCTGGGTCACGATATCAAAGTACGTTTCGCTGAAGCAGCCTTGGGTTCCTCAGCTAGCACCACGATTCTAGGAGTCATCTTTGCGAAACTCAGCCCCACCCCACCCACATCCCATCAGTCCTGATACTCACCCACACCCCCACTTCCCGCCCCCTGATCCCACTCGCACCCCAGTCCCCCCTCCATTCCCACAGCCCGCCTCGCCCGGTCCTGTGACCCGGCTCACATTGCCCGGCGCCACGACGTCGTTGCAGAAGTAGCAGCCGAGCTGGTGTCCGGGGATGAGCTGGCGCCGGTCGACGCCGTCGGTGGCGGGCGGCGCGGCGCCCGGCGGCCGGCTGCCGTGTCGCATCACCAGGTAAGAGTCGAAGCCGAGCGCGGCGTTGATCACCACCTGGCGGCCCGCGCGGCGCGTCAGCACACGGCCCAGTCGTGCGCTGGCACTGAGGGTTCAGGTATGTTAGAAGTCGGCAGAAGCGCTCGGAATGGGTAGCGGGCGTGAAGCATGCCATTGGAAAACGGTGCACTCCGCGATCACAGGTGTGCCTGTGTGCGCAATGCCACGTTAAAATCATCCGACGACGTACTTCCGCTGATGTTTTCCCTTTGCTTTGTTTTCTTTGCTGTTGTTGAAAGTCCTCGCTATTCTCATTTGCTAACCTTACTGAAATGACGTTAGTTTTGTCGTGACTGAGATCTCGGGCACCATAATTTTCTTCTTGTTAGTACCGCATTAAATTCTATTCACACCCGTTACCAATCTCTTAACTTGCAACTTATGTCGACTTATTTGTCGTCTCCTTCCGGGCGACTTTATTTGAACGGGTACCGGCGGTGTTTCTGATCGATCTCCTTCCTTAAGGCTCAGCTGAATGGCTTACCGCCATGTTCCCAGCTCGGATTGCTTGCAAACACAACATTGATGGTCCGCTGTCGCATCCAACAGTGGAGCACAGCCATAGAGGAGTCAAAGAGACAGTGGTGCCTCCAGGATTTGTTTTGTGCAGCCGAAAATCCCAACAGTGAATGTCAGTAGTCCAAAACCGGTCAGTTTCTCACATGTACCCTCGTCTGGAAAATCAAAGGCTACCAGAAAATAATAACGGATCTTCTTTAGCAGCCTTGTATTGATGCCACTGGATAGCTCCTTCCGTGATACATAATATCGGAAATCCTCGCAGGCTCAATATAATCGTTTTCTACCGACAACAACCTAAATAAATAAAATCACAACGCAGGTGGAATCGCGCGATTTCTCACTACTTCTTTTTCGCTTTGCCCTCGCGTTTTCGCCAGAAAGTTGAGCCGTCAGTGCTCTGTCAAGCACGACTGAAAATATTAGGTCCATGCCTCAACATCGAATCATTCGGATAATACGCAGTGCAAATGTTGTCTGCTGCATTGTAATGGACGGCAAACAGATATTTGAATTTGGCGCACACCCTCACACCGGCATTATGATCCATACCACAAGCGCTCCGTGTTCATAATGCATACAGTTCACACACGGCGCGGACATGTCATGCTACCGGACCCGTGCTGATTACAGTACAGTGAAACAATTAGTCTCATTTTCGGGAGTCGCATGCCTGCAAACAAGGCCATCCAACCATGTCTGCTGTGTAACCTGTGCAGGGTCAACATATCAAAGTAAATACCAGGTGGAACGTGGAAAGTGCTACGTGCAACGACTGCTGCCATACCGGGTAGTCCCTCAAAGCGCTGCAATACAGTATGCTACGGCATTACCGCGTGCTCATGGAATATACGGATCATGGCCTCCTCGCTCGTACGCAATATAAGGGTTCGCAAAAAGCTTAACGCCATTTCCATTTACGTCAGATGAACACGCGAGTGGACCTTTATCAGGAAACGTCTATAGCACAGCGTTGACACTTTTGTTGCACATCTTCGTGGTCATTTACGGAATGCTCCAGATGAAACATTAGTGCAGATGGAATAATTAATTGGATTGTGATTATTAATATATATATATATATATATATATATATATATATATACACACACACACATATATATATATATATATATGCATATAAACGTGTGTACACATATGTATGCACATATACGTATATCACACGCACACACACACACGCACGCACGCACGCACGCACGCACGCACGCACACACACACACACACACACCACACCACACACACACACACACACACACACACACACCCACATATATATTCTTCTCTCTTCATATCTCTATTTCTCTATATCTATATCTACTTATCTATCTATCTATCTATCTATCTAATATCTATCTATTATATATATCTATCTATCATCTATCTATCTATCATCTTCTATCTCCTATCTATCTATCTATCTCTATCTATCTATTATCTATCTATCTATCATCTATCTATCTACATCTATCTATCTATCTATCTATCTATCTATCTATCATCTATCTATTATCTATCTATCTATCTACTATCTATCTATCTATATCTATCTATCTATCTATCTATCTATCTATCTATCTATTAGCTTAGGATGCTCTTAATTCGATCTCTGAACTCCGGACATGGCGACTTGTAGCCAGACATCCCGGCCAACACGTTATCCAGAACAGCACCATATGCTTCCCATAGAATAGGAATTAGAGCACCAGTCTAGCAGTGGTTAGGTGGCAAACGCTCCTGGGTCCAGCCCAGGACCGAACAGCGCCTGACGACGGTCGGAGGAGTGCCAGCCGAAGGGCTATGAAGGCAGTAACAGCAGCGTGACGCCTCGTGCGGCGCGGGACCAGCGAGGCAGTAAGACATGTGAAAGTCGTCAGCTGTTGTGCAGACGATGCCAAAAGCCAAGCTGGTGAAGACAGAGACATTGGGCCGCCGATGTCAACGGCCTTCATCAATGCGTCGGGAAGTCTAGCTTTGATGCCAATTTAACAGGCGGAGGTACACTATCGCAGCGCAACGACACCCATAGTCCACAAACAGCTCACGTGAAATTGGCTGGCTACAAGTTCCGGTTAAACTCAAGACATCGATGAACTTGCAATGATGCATGGTTGTTCAATCGTGACCAAAGCAATTGTAATAATATCACGCAACTATTTGGGGTGGATATGAGCCGATCATAATCAGGTCTCACGCCGGTGTAGTTGTCACAGCACGGGGTGTAGTGGCCAATTGGATAGAGCCATTGGTTCGCAGACGGGGGCCGGGTCTGAATCCCCGTTGCGCCACGGCCCCTGCAGTCGCTGGCACCCCATGCAATTGTGTGCAACGACGTGCACCGCGTTCTTTCCTGAAAGTTTTCAAAGCTAAATCTTTCTCAGCTTGGATTACAACGTCTTGCGTCCGAGATCACCTTCGGAAAAGGTGATACTGGCCGCCTCCTTCTCATTAGCATCGAACCTACCAGCCCGGGGTTTGAGAACATCCGTTGGCGAGTTGCAAACGGCATATTCGTCCACCCCGTGCCGTTGACTTCACGTCTTGGTCAGCCCTGGTCACTGAAATGACACCGACCCCTAAAAACGCCCCTAAAACGCCTGCTACAAGCGCCCCAAAACGGGTGGATCCGTTGTCTGCGCACGAGAGCGACAGCAGCCGTCCTAACACATTGCGGACAATAGCTCACCAGAGCAGGCAACGTGCAAACGCATAACAATCTACGCAGCACAATGTTCAATGCATTGGGCTTTTTGTTGCTGCAAACCGCATGCACCTGGAATCAGTAGTTGCAAAGATCTTTGCTTCCACACAATATGATGGCCGAGCCAAGACCGGTCACTCAAGTTGAAGATTTGTTCATCGCCCGAGTCAGACTCACGCGGCCTGCGACCTCCCTTGTAATCATTGGGGCTTTACAACGCGCTGAGCTGCTGAGGCTACGCTCGTGAGGTGTCGCCTGGCTGTCACAGCGGTAGACGGCAGGTGACCCGTACCTCCAGTCCCCAAGACGCGCAGCTTAATCGCTACATTACCGATGCCCTGCGTTCTCGCTCGTAACAATACTGTCAAGGACAATATGGAACAAACGTTATAACTGGGATCAAGAGACAGCCACTTCGCACATGAATGCCATTAAATGCTAAAGGTTGCCACGAAGACATGGCTCCTCTACAGCAGGCAGCAATCATCACCCACGCCCGTGCTAGTGTAGAACAGAATATGCAGTTTACCACGGCGTACTTGGCACAATTAAGCGGTATAAAACATCACATTCAGTCAAACAAGCCACACCCAACAGGTTAGAAAAGGGCAGGTTTCTTCAAAGAATCGAAAAAAGGCGGCAGCACGCAGCCGGCACACCAGACTGAACGGCAGCACAACAGCCTGCAAGTGGAGAAGTTTTCCCAAATTTTGACATCCATCAGACACCACATGCACTCTCAACGCCACCACCCAATGGTCGCTGTGGGCGGCTGTCGTACCCCGGCCACACCTGGGCGGGAGCCGGACTTTATGGCCAGCCCCGACTCAGCAGAGGGGCTCAGCAGAGGGGTCGCTGAGGTGGCGTCCCGCCCCCATCAGAGGAGGTCACGCCAACCCCTGCCTGCCGTGCAGTCAGCGCCCGTCGACGGGAGAGGGGGGGGGGGGGGGGGCCCACCTTCTGGTGGGCGGCGCCCATGACGGTCGGCAACCAGCGGCTCTCTCGGCTGTCCATCAGCAGGAAGAGCAGGTCGTGCTCCGTGACGAGCTGTCGCAGCCGGTGCACGTCGGCCGCCACCTGGCCGACCTCGGCCGCGCCCACCGGATGGCCCGGCATCGGTACGCACAGCTCGACACCCTCCGACACCTGGCCGCCAAACGGGGGATGTACACGTGCGCCGCCCGCCGCGCGCCGGCCACGCCATCTAACGGTCAGTCGGGCGCGTCATCCAACAAACCACAGGGCGGCCGGGCAGGCGGCTCCGACCGCGCCGTACGTGATCGGCACGACGGATCCAAGCACGAGGCGCACCGCCACGGCAGGCATGCACCGCACGCGCGGAAACACGACAGTGGCAACACTACGGTTTTCAAGGACTCCGATCTCGCTTGCCAAGCAAGACACAAGCGCATGCCATGTCTAAACGGCTAGAATAACGCAACATCTACACGCCACTGCTAGCCTCACAAACAGGATGCGGTTCGTGCGTGAGCCCGCAGTTGCGCCGCCCTACCACCTGCGCCACCCCGGCCTGCCGCGTCCACAGCCCGGCACCGCGCCGCTGCCGCGGCGGCGGCAACGGCCCGACCGCGCTCCTCACCACGCCCGGGAAGATGTCGCGCAGACGGGCGGCCGCCGCCACCGCCTTGGGCCGCCGCTGCACCGAGTCCTCGAAGGTGAACAGGCTCTGCCGCACCGGGTTGGAGTAGGAGACGACGCCGTTGTCGATCAGCGTGATGTGCCGCACACCCCAGCCCTGTGGCGACCAACGGAGGCGACTTCAGACGGGGCGCTCACCGCCTCACGTGCTGTGCCGACCGCCCCAGCCCTGTGGTGGCCGGCCTCAGACAGAGTAGTCCCAATCGCAGGCAGGTGAGCGATGGCACGAAGTCGTTGAACAGGAGATCATGCGATCATGAACATGTACATCTACGCGATCAGTCATCCAAGTGTTACAAAGTCGTTGGTGCTTGTTTAGGTAAAATGATGCGCAGCCAAAACAGCTTTGGGCATCCAACTGCTTTGTTCAAACGTGGATCATCATGACGAGCGGAGCGTAGCACAAGCCTGCGATCTGACGTTTGTTTCGAGTTTGATGCCCTTCTGGTCAAAAGTGCAGATCTATATTGTCCCACGTTGTAACCTCATACTGAAGCTTCATTTCCGAATCATTTGATTGGGACGTCATTTTCCCATACGAAACCAAATTCAACATACTTACGTATTAATGCTGGATGCAGACACATGCATCACCTCTAGTCTACACAGTTTATTCATGTAAACAATTTAAGACAAAACTAGCATATCACTTCCACAGCACTAAACTGTTACTTCATTCGCCAGTGTGTCTAAATAAAATCCCTGGTCTCTGCATCAAACTTCAAAATGCACAAAAAAAACTCACCACCACGTACTGGGCACAGATCTTCATACAGCAGTCAAAGTTGGATTCATCCCAAGACGGCTCAGTGTTGTGACAATTGGTCAACGCATAGGGCCATTTGGCTCCCGATCCTGCTTCATGTTCACACATGTTCCGTTGGGAATGCAGCTTGTATTTGGGCCTGAGGTGTTTGAGCTCGTTGTGGCCTCCAACCTTAACTGAACCACATGCGTGCTTTAGTCGAAGTCCAGTTTGCTGGCGATTTACCGTTTATGTTACGACCTCAGTTGTCAGTTCAACATTGGGGCATCCAAACTAAATGTGATGTGGGTCAATGTAACTACGAAATCAAGCGCTTTAAGCGGTTTCGGTCATGGGTCCTGTCTACGTAACTATGTATGATGATTTGAAACTGAATCTGGGTGATGAGTCAAAGGCCATGGTGCGCACCATGGTCCTATTGAATTTTACCTTCAGCCAATGACAATGCCAATTCCAATGCCTCTGGATGGTCATTCCGGAGCAGGTTAATGCGACGACAGATGCACCGTCAGTCAGTTGACTTTCCCTGTACAGCGCAGGCCTCCACGACAGAAACGCGGTACGATCGACTCGCTGCAATGGGCCCATGCAACATACACTTTTATCGAGGCCGGAATTTTTGTAGTCACCAGCATCAGCTAGGAAGCGAACATAACTCCAAATTATTGGTTTATGAATCTTTGATTTATATCAACCACCTTCGTGTGTTTCATACAGCACAGCAATGTCCAATTGGGTAGGCTAATGTAATCCTTTTAGGAAAAAAGTGCAACTGTTTTGCGGCGACGTGACCCGGGAGGACACCGGGTATAAAATAAGAAATTATTGCCTAGCAAACAGAAGATATTCCCACCTCCCTGTTTTTCTCTCATGCTTCCTTCTTTTATATTAGTCTGTACATCCCCCGTTCCAGCTGGGCCGTTTCAACCGTAAATGCTTGTTAAACCATAAAAACAGCAAGCTCCATCAAGCCACTGCATCGCTGTGCCCTTTACTTAACATTCAGCTATGGCAAACAAATGCATCGATTCGTTGTTTACTTAATCAGCTGTTGCAACTCGCACGTGCTACGTGCGTCACGTAAGCTTCTGGTTCGGCAAAGAATCTAGCCTACCTGACGTCGTTTTACGAGGACATCGTGCATCCACCACACCATCAGTACAAGTGGCGACACTACAGGGTGGCAACACGGGACAAATAAACGTGTGATGCTGACTAGCAATAAGTCAAACTACACAGAGCGTTAACCAGCTAGGCTGATTCGAACATGAGGCGACAAAATAATCCGCCCCGCCAAACGTTGAGCTGAAATTCGGTTTCAGTGCGAAGCCAATTGGGTGGGTCCACCGGCTGTTCATCAAGTAGTAACGCAGCCGCTGGTAGGCCGACGGGAGGTTGTTGCAAATATCCCGATGGTTATCAGACAGCACAATGTACAATAGATAGGTCACGTTAAGTCAGCGGACTGCAATTGACTGCAGTCGTGGTTCGTCGGCAGGCCTCGCCAGCAGGTCACGTCAGGTCAGGTCACGCTAGCATGTCACGTCAGGTCAGGTCAGGTCAGACAAGGATGCCGAAGCCGAGGTCGGCGGGTGGCCTGGTGGGTGCCGCCGCGAGTCGGCCGTCACGCAGTCGCGGGGTTGCTCCGAGCGCTCACCAGCAGAGCCCTGGCCACGTTACAGCCGAGCGTGCCGGCTCCGAGAAGCAGACATCGAGCCGAGGTCATACGCTCCAGCTCGAGCTCCGGCACCAGACGCCACCGCATCAGCTTCAGGTTCAGGTCCACCGCGCTGGACGCCAGCCTGTCGGCCGGCCGACGCAGGTCACGGTCACACGCGGGCCGGTCGATGTCGGGCAAGATCACACGCGGGCCGGCCGATGCAGGGCAAGGTCACACGCGGGCCACCCGACGTAGGTCACGGTCACACGCGGGCCGGTCGGTGTCCGGAAATGTCACAAGCGGGCCGTTTGACACAGGTCACGGTCATACGCGAGCCGGCCGACGTAGGTCCCGATCACACGCGAGCCGGTCGATGTAGGGCAAGATCACACGCGGGCCGTCTGACACAGGTCACGGTCACACGCGAGCCGGCCGACGTAGGTCCCGGTCACACGCGAGCCGGTCGATGTAGGGCAAAGTCACACGCGGGCCGTCTGACACAGGTCACGGTCACACGCGAGCCGGCCGACGTAGGTCACGGTCACACGCGGGCCGGCCGACGCGGATCATGTTGCTCGTTACCTAAGTTGTGCCGCCTTATGAGTAAATCACCACGCCGAATCCTTAAGATATTCGACATCGCTTAGGCAAGTGGTAAGAGACCTATGATCGGTGTGAGAGATCACCAAATTCGGTGTGAGAGATCACCACGAACGGTGTCTGAGATCACCACGATCGATGCGAGAGATCACCACAACTGGTGTGAGATAACACCACGACGCTCCGGATCCTACCCGATGTGTCACCAAATAGTTGCGCGTACGTAATCACGGACAGGTGGTGAGGCTCACGTACAACGTCGGCTCCATGCTTGAGCTGAGGTTAACCAGGCGCGGGCCCATCTTGCCTCTTTCGTTTCGCTCCCAGCCGGTCACCGACGGCGGCACGTCGGAGCCGCCGCCATCTTCATGCGACAGTCGTAACTTCAGTATCAGACTGTGTTCGACAGAGCGCGCTCCTCCGCGGGTAACGTCTCGCCAGCAGAGCACGCGGACGTCAGGCCGATCTCGCCCCCTATCGGGGTGGGGAGCAGTCAGCAGCTGTGAGCACATCGCAGCACCGACGGACTTTTGTGCAATCTAAACAACCTCGCAAGACGCGGAGATAATTTGTATGCGGCGCATGGCAAGCTTTTTGCAACACGGCTATCAATGGTTTTTAGCATCCGCAAAAACTTGGTCAGAGCAAGCCACGTGCCATGCTAGAAAATGCTTATCTTCGAAAACAAAGTTAAAATGATCAAATCTCGAACATACAATTCGAAGTCGGAAACATGAAGGACACAGAAATCGTAGTAAAAAATCAGGTGGCCTACCAATTCAAAGGTCAGAAAGTCACTGTCAGTAACGTGATATCGGAATAAAACAAGCATTCGGTTGAAAGCTAGATGAAGTTAAAATCTGCTCGTCAGATCCAGCCAGAACTGCCTGGAGCCACACTGGACCTTGACCAGCTTCCAGACATCTCCAACAGCGCAGCGTGCAACCATTCAAAGGTCCACCTTCAAACTCAAGCTCAAAACCCAGCGGAATAGAGATGAAAAGGTAGAGCGTTCGGTGTCCTTTTTACGACTTTGGAAGTAGCCCCAGTCGCTTTGGGCCGCCTGCAACCCGAAGTTGCCGGCGACCGCCCTCCCTGCACCAGCGCATGCCCGTCTCACCAGTGGTGCCAGTAGAGCACCAGCAGGTTGCGCAGCGGCCAGCCGGGGTGCTGAGGGTCGGCGCTGGGGTCGCAGAAGGCCAGCAGCAGCTCACCGGCCGGCGGCGCGCTGCCCAGCCGCTGCAGTGGCAGCACGGACACCTCCGGCAGCAGCTGCAGCAGGAAGGCGGGCGGCGAGCCGGCGGCTGACACGGCCGACTCCAGCTGCGCTATCTGGGGGACGGCACAACACGCGGCGTGACGGCGGCCTCGTCACGCATCACGCTTGTGCGCACACGCGTACGTACGTGTCCCCCCGTCCCCACACGCACAAACACACATCATCAGTGGCACGCACTGAAGGGTGGATGCCGGTCCAACAGAGTTCAAGCACATGCTTGACAGAGGCCCGCCATACCCCTATGCAGAATCTGTCTGTTGGTAATCACGTGCGCTTTAAGCAGGGACGTGGTATTGTTTTACGAAATAATTGAGACGAAGCAATGGTCCCGCCACAGCTGCTCCAGACCAGGCTGACCCTTTAATGGACATCTACATTGGCGGTCGCTGATCAGTTAAATAAACGAACTGGGACGCAGTCCCACATAGTTTGTCACCCTAAGGGTTAGGTATCCTACGATCTTCCCATTGAGCCACCAGGCTATCACGCTGCGTCACCTGGCCAGCTGACAACGCCTCAGACAGCTGCTGCGGTGGTTCCAGTGCAGCTACAGAAGATGGCTGTTTGAGTGCAGGAAATCCAAACCAGTAGAAGAAGTCATACTTCTTTAGGTCCTGCCAGCGCACAAACAGTGCAGAATGACAATCAAGTTCGAAAAAATAGTAAACAAGGTGAACAGGGTATACAAAGCGCTGGGGCTCAGCCGGATGCTTAGGGCCAAAGGCGACGCTACAAAATGCACTAACACACTGGCTTAGAAAAAACCTGCCATAGTAGGGCCTATCTACGAAGGCTTCACTTCATCACATCACACGACGAATTCACTGGGGGCGAATAAACAAAAAGCCGTAAGGATGGCAGCAGCGCGAAACCCTCAACGGCAGTCACTCAGACTCAAACGTAAAACCAGCGTACCGCAAATGTGACCAGCAGGAACGGATTGAGCAGGCACGGTGTCTCAAGAGCCGTGCCATCGGTAATTGCCCGCAGAATGGTGCGGCCATGCTCTTGCAGGAGACGAGCCTTGTCAAATCCCTTAAACGCCTCCCTGGTATTCGTATTTATCAGGAGGCCTGGACACGCAAGGTCGCCGGGAGATCTGCAACAGGCGTCACGCTGGTACAAATGGCAGCTGACGGAATGGATCCACAGACGTCACCCTGGTACAGCTGGCGGCTGACGAAATGGATCAACATACGCCACGCTGGCACAGATGACAGCTGACGAAATGGATCAATCAACAGATGTCATGCTGGTACAGCTGACAGCTGACGAAATGGATCAACATACGTCACGCTGGCACAGATGACAGCTGACGAAATGGATCAATCAACAGATGTCATGCTGGTACAGCTGACAGCTGACGAAATGGATCAACATACGTCACGCTGGCACAGATGACAGCTGACGAAATGGATCAGCATACGTCACGCTGGCACAGATGACAGCTGACGAAATGGATCAATCAACAGATGTCATGCTGGTACAGCTGACAGCTGACGAAATGGATCAACATACGTCACGCTGGCACAGATGACGGCTGACGAAGTGGCTCGCCCAAGACATAGTCAGCATTGTGCGCCCATCCACAACATGCACATACATTTGATTATTTTATGCTTCGGGCAACATGCAATTTACTATCGCGGGGTTATAGCCAACTTCGATCACTCTTTACGTTCAAACTAATCCCCTTTTCTTTTGCGCCTAAACACAGCCGTCTTGCACTCATCCCGCAGAATTTTCGCATCTGGTGGCCTCATCACAAAGCGACCCTGAACACTTTGCTGCCAGGGTCAGTACAAACAGGCAGGCAGGCGGTGGGCTTGTTCCGATTTCCCGGGCTTGGTGAAAGGGGGGCTAATCTGGTACCCCAGAACGAGTTCGCGTCCTCATGCTGGGTCACCGAGGTGACCAGTTGATGTGAGAGCACACTTAAGTCGCCAAGGTGTGATACACGCTGAAAACTGAAACCACTCCTGATGTTGAAGTGTGCTAAGCAAGGCTCTTAGATTACTTTCTTGATAACATAGAACGTAAATAGTTTTAAAACGGCCCACAAAGACTGAGTGAAACATGCTTTGAGTTAGGGCAGACCAGAGTGACCCAAGCAAGGCATGGGAGCCTCATATGGAGCATAATCTGGAGACCGTGTCACAAGGTAGATATGGCGCAGGCTGCAGAATGAACCCAAGGGAGTGAGGAGATTGCAAAGTGCAGTAATGATTAGGCGAGCTGATGAGGGACTCGATAGGGCACCACCACTAATATATGGAGCCCAGAAGCCTGAAAAGGAAGTGTCTACATGAACACAGATTATCATTACGCACAACAGCACATAGTTACTATTCACCATTTCAATCATAACAGATAAATTATGGACATATAGACAACATGTTCTTCATATATAGCGGCGCTTTCCGGATTTTTAAGCAAGGTTTCGCTCAAGATGGATCAAATTATGATTCCCCAAAACAAATGCAGGCAAAAACATTACAACCTACTTATGACCAAGCTTATCTAAGCAGCTGATGGGTTCAGAGGCACAGAGAGCACACAGGCTCTGGCACAGAACTGTACTTGGGCAACACAAATCAAACCACAAAGTTGACCCTCAGTATGTTGTCGTTCCTGAACACGCCACGTCAGTGGCACAATGCTCCGTTTTGGGGTGACATCTCCAGACATTTCCGGCTCAGTGCAGGTGGTGTACTGCAGTGCATGTGGCCACATCACTTTTCACCGAGCACCTTACTGTTGACGGTGCCTGGATCATGGGCGCAATGACACCTCAGAAAGTAGGTGTAGGATTTCTGCCCGGAGAGCACAGCGCGCTCGAGCCCCACACGGCGGTAAGTGAGAGGAGACCTCTCGGCTGGCAAAATCGTCAGGTCTGACGACGGCTCCTCTCAGCTCCTACACCACCCAGCGGTCTGGCCTGCTAGCGCTGAAACCGTCCCCGCCGCCGTGGCACCTGCGCGGCCGGTCAGCAGCTTACAGCGCCACCAACCGTGCCCGTTCGCCCCGAGCTACGGCCAGAGCACAGCAGCATGGAGTCCTGAGTCAGCACCCCGGCCTCTTCGACGGCGTGCCACGCGTCCTGTCGCGGGGAGCCCTCCGCAATATAGTATATATATATATAATATATATATATATCCCCTCCCTCCCTCCTCCCTCCCTCCCTCCCTCCTCCCTCTCTCTCTCTCGTCTCAATCTCATCCTCTCTCTCTCTCTTCTCCATCTCTCTCCTCCCACTCCTCTCCCTCTCTTCTTCTCTCTTCTCTTCTCTCTCTCTCTCTCTCTCTCTCTCTCTCTCTCTCTCTCTACTCTCTCCTCTCTCTCTCTCTCTCTCTCTCTCTCTCTCTCTCTCTCTCTCTCTCTCTCCTTCCCTCTTCTCCTCTCTCTCTCTCTCTCTCTCTCTCTCTCTCTCTCTCTCTCTATCCTCTCTCCTCTCCTCTCTCTCTCTCTCTCTCTTCTCTCTCTCTCTTCTCTCTCCTGCTCTCTCTCTCTCTCTCTCCTCTCTCTCTCTCTCTCTCTCTCTCTCTCCTCTCTCTTCTTCTCTCTCTCTCTCTCTTCTCTCTCTCTCTCCTCTCTCTTCTCTCTCCTCTCTCTCTCTCTCTCTCTCTCTCTCTCTCTTCTCTCTCTCTCTCTCTCTTCTCTCTCTCTCTCTCTCTCTCTCTCTTCTCTCTTCTCCCTCTCCTCTCTCTCTCTCTTCTCTCTCTTCTCGCTCTCTCTCTCTCTCTCTCTCTCTCTCTCTCTCTCTCTCTCTCTCTCTCTCTCTCTCTCTCTCTCTCTCTCTCTCTCTCTCTCTCTCTCTCTCTCTCTCTCTCTCTCTCTCTCTCTCTCTTCTCTCTCTGCTCTCTCTCTCTCTTCTCTCGCTCTCTACTCTCTCCTCTCTCTCTCTATCTATATTCGGAACCTCCTTCGCTGCCGGCGCCAAAATGCTGCAGGTCGTTCAGGAAAAGACGGTGCTTGCTGCTGTGCGCTTGCGTATCGCTGACAGATGTTGCACCAGTTGCAAGCGAGAACACGGCCGCTCGGCGGGCAGATCAAGTGTCGCCGGCATTGGGGCGGCGTCGGCGCCGCGCGGTGCGCAGCCTGCATCCTGTTGGTGCTGATGTTTGCTATCTCGCAGAGAATGATCGCAGAAAACGATGCCGCTGGCTAGTCCTCGTCCAGCTTTGTATGTTGGAAGTTCTGTAGAAAATCTGGAGAGGGTGTTTGCTGCCATTTGATACCGCCCTGCGCGTCTGTCATCAGCGGCACAGGTCGCCTTTGGTCACAGTACGCCGGGACGCGCACAAACGACGGCGCTGCCCGCGCTTTCCTCATAGCTGTCTCATGGCAGCTTTACCAAACGAAGCTTCGTTTGTTGCTCAGCAGGTGGCGCAGCAGGTCCACGTGCTCCGCCGTTTCCTCGGAGAACAGCCATGCAGTCATGAGCTACATGGGCGATAAACCTAAGCACACTGTGCAATTTTGCCTATGACTGCCTTGTTGACCCTCACATACATCAGTGATTCAGGGGAGGCTGTATTTGCTGACCAGGCACACTGCAACTTTACAGCTTACTGCCCACTCAGACATACACATACACACAGTGGGAGTGTCAAGCCCCTTTGTGAGTCACTTCATCCCATGCTTCAACCTAGGGTATTGCTCAGCATTCTCAAAACATGGGGTACCATGGGATCCATAGACACCATGCTCCTATGCCTATGCCCTGGGTAGTTGTCTTTCTCACCTCAGATCTCATTTTGACCATGCCACATTTCACCCTGAGCCTTTTTATGGTTAAAACCCTGATTGGAAGCAGCTACAAGAATGCCAGTGAATGGACAGTGACTGGTGGTGGTGAGTGCTCAGTGGTCATGGTTGTTCCTGTGTTCCTTGTGACAGCTACCAACCTCTCAAATGATGCAGAGTCCACATTGAAGAGAGCTGGCATTCCACAAGCAGCGCTGTTACTGAAGTATCCAGTCAAAGATACAGCTTCTTCTTTCAGGCACAATACATCCAGCTTGAGCTGACTAAATTTGTGCCAAAATCCTGTATCCACAGATGATGCAAATGGTAAAAACTGTAAAGGCATCTCTTTGCTCATCTTACGAAATTGTTTTTTTCAATTTCTAGAGCTACCTGAAAATAACACATCCAATGTCATGGGGCATCCTCTCTTCATATCTTAGGATGACATACTCTTTGATGAGGGCTCTAAATCCCAACTCTAACTCAAAGGGGCATTGGTCATGCATCAGCAGAACACACCTTTAAAAGTAATGCTTACTTTATGGTCAAATCACTGTTGTTGCAATCTCAACTTCAGTCATTTTACTATAGCAAAGCAATGACAAGCAAGGAACCTATGCCATAACTTTCTACAACCTTTTCTATGACAAACCAACAATATTTGGAACAATACTGAGACATGACCAAATGCAATCCCTCCTCTTTGTCATGCTACCTAAATGACAATGGGCATGGGCACTTAATAGAAAACAGTCTCACCATACCTGAAGCCATACATCTAAACTCAAACTGAAAAGTAACATGTAATGCACAAATAACAATCCTCATGGGAAGGTAATATGGTACCATAATTGTGGCAGTAACCACACCAACCCAAGAACACATCTACAACAACTGGAGATAGTTTGGAGGAATGCAGGACATTAAAAATTGCATCCCACATTTTCATATACATAAGGACCAATGGACAACAGAGGTAGGTACTCAAACACATCAGAAGCATCTGTGTAACATATGTGCACAGGGTGATCTGAAGACCTGACAGTCTATGCACCCACAAGTGCCTATATACATATTTTGTCTGCTTTGTTTATTAAGTAAAAAATTTAGCTGTAAACTAACCACACCTGGTATGTTATTCACCCCTTAATTTAACAGCATAGTACTCTCACCAAATACTGTCCAAAGCAGGGTAGTCTTAATTAAGATTTATCTCTATCCTCTAATATCAGACAATTACAGCCAATAAACAAGAAACAAAAGATAAGGCATTCATAAGAATGTAAAAAACGAAAACAAAACTCTACATAAGGGAACCTTTAATCCGATAAATCAGCAAAATTCCAGCCATCCACAGCAGCTATGCTGCATGGACAAAGCAAGGCCTCTCACGAAACTATCTAGCCCTGTCCTGACATTGCACGATTTTTTAAAATGATGACCAGTGCACAATGATGCGTAGAAGCCAATGCATCAACCCCTGTCTTATGCAACTTGCCGATGTAAACAAACTCAACAAACGTTAGATAGCCTTGAACAAACTACAGCGGTTAGCTGTAGCAGCCGCGCAAGTTCTGTCTACAGTATAGCAAGGGCATCCGCGTGAATGCCAATACTAAATAATAACATCTTTCAAACACCCATTGGATGAACAGCATGATATGGTACGCACAAGAACATCAGAATACCCTGGTGCTCACACTAGATTGAACCATTCCAGAAAAATGTATCTATCAGCCCTAAACTTTTCTCAGTGCCCCCACGTCAATAAAATGTTCGATTCAAATTATAAACGTGCAGCAAAACATTAAATAAAGTATCGCACAATGTTCTCAAGCAGCATTATACTGAGCAGCAACAATAGTTGAGACAAATCACATTAGCAGATGGTGTCCTATGAAACAGGCTTCGAAATCCAAGGGAAGGTTATGGTGCCCGGTGTGGGCTTGGTGTTTCATATTTGAATTGATTCTGCAATTTTGAATTCAGCAACATCTTTAACTACCAGCGGATGGACATTTTGACGAATTTGTGACGAAGATTTCCGTATAACGTGTATTAGTGAAGTAGCTACCGAATGGAGTGCATTCGGTCTCCTGTTTTGCAATTAGCACGTACTCGTTAAAGCGCCTTCGAACGCTGCGTTTTGTCTCGACAATGTAGGTGGTTTAGTTTTTTACACTGAGCGCCAATACTTACTCTTGGATCCTTTTGAAAGTGGTCCCATATATGACACCGTCTGATAATGCACATCTTACGGAAATCGATCGGACCGAAAAGTCTAATGCCTCCGGAGAGTCAGACCAGACCCAACACCCCGTCATCTGTCGGGTGACGGGGGTGTCGGGTTTGGTTGGGCTGAAGAGTCTCGGAGAATCAGAGACCATGCCAAACGCCTTATCATCCATCGGGTGACGGGGTGTTGGGGCTGGTCGGGCCCGGATAGTCGACGGACAGTTGTCACGCGCCGCATGACCGTGACTGTTCGGCCGGCGGCCGGCGTTACGACAGCTGTCCTGTCATCCCTCGGACGATGGTGTTGAATCTAGTCTAACTCGGGCAGGCTGGAATGCAGCAGTAGTACGTGATACCCAGCGAGCCGCGGCGCAGCCTCGGTGGCCAGCTGATGACGGTCGACAGCGAGTATGACGGCTCGAGCTCGGGTGTCACCGACGGCATACCGCTGGCGTAGGCCACGTTGGCGGCAGCGCGGTGCCCTTGTGACTGTCGGCGTGCAGTTTGGTCAGCTGGTCCACCCATCCACCCATCAGCTCGTCCATCCGGCCATCCTAGGTCGACAGCACCGGGTCGGAAGTCGCGCCGCACGTACCGGTCGGACGGCGGGTAGCGGCGGCAATGGCGGCGGCGGCGCCCGTGTGGCCGACGGCGTGTGTCTGGGCTAGCAGGTGGTCCACCGGGTCATGCTTGGTCAGAGGACCAGGTCGCTAGTCGCGACCACTTAGTTGACTTGACCTGGCCTGGTCAATTCGGGTGTGGACGGGCAGCACGGGAGATATGGTCGAGAAGTGGCCAGCCATGATGGTAGCACTCGTTAGCTATTGTGAGGCCTCCCCGTGGATGCGGATAATTATGACTCCAGAGGAAATATGGTCCAGGTGTGGAGTGGAGCACGGAGAGGAGAGACCTAATTTGGGCGGGGGCGACATCCAGTGGCCGGTTCCAGCTGACGCGTTGGCGATCATTGCTGGTGGTGGTTGCTGGAAACCCGGCGTTCTCTGGGAGAAAAAACAAACCACCCGACCGACGACCCAGAAAAAAGACCCCTGACAAATAGAGTTAGAGCTAGAGCTAGAAAACAAAATGACCTTGAAGGCATACCACGAACCATTTTCGTCAATCATCGACATCTTGGCTGCTCCGTTGCAGCATGAAACCAGATAGTACTCGGTCTACCGCCTTTGCTATGGTAAGTGACGTCACATACACTCACAATGTAGCGAACTGAAACATCCATGGACTTCCCAATTTACGCACCTTGAATGTTGTTTACTGTGAGTCAGTATCCGGCTTACAGGTGTGCGTGGGGATTGTAATTGCATCGTCACCTGGTAGGTCATAGCCGGATTGTATTGAAATAAGATTATAATATATTCATTTTCATGACACTTAAATACCTGAGAACAGAACACTGTCAGATTGTAGAACTGCTGCATCAATCGCCGCAGAGTATGACCCCATGATCCAAGGGCTAAGGGATTGAAGGGCTAAGTTTTAAAATTACGTGAGAGATGTATTACATGATGTGAAATAATGTGAACTATTTAAAGAATGCCAACATTATTACCTAAATATTGTATCAATTAGATTGCAAATGTGATACAAAATAATGTGGACTCCTTAAGAAATATCAGCAGCAGTGCCTACCTGCCACATAAACTGCATTGCATGTGCCCAGATTGCTGCCCAGGTCCTATACAACAGTGCTAGTTCTTATCCTACCCATTCCTCTGCCTTGCCATGTTCTTTGCACTGCCCTGTCACAGCTTTCCTCTGCTATACCCTGTTCTGCATGCTTTCCTGTCATCCACCATACATAACCTTACCCTGGCCTGTTGTGCCCCGTCCTGTGTTCTGTATGATAAGGTGCACCCTGTCCTCTGTCTGAACTTCTGTCATGTTTCTGTTCTGCCCTGCCTTGCTGTTTGACCTCTCACCCCCATCTCTTTCCTCTGCTCTTTCACGTCCTCTGTCTCTCTACCTGCCCTGCCATCTTTGCAGTCCTGTCACCTGATTTCTACTTTGTCTCTGGTTTACCCTGTGCTGCCCTTCCTCTCCTGTGAGTCATCCATGTCATCCAGTCATGTCACATGTTCTGATCTCTGTCCTCTGATCTGCATGGTATTGTTTTGCTACATGTTTGATGACTGCAATAATTAGGATGCTAGAGCATTCTATGTAATGATGTATGCAAACAGCTGACAAGAAGGCAGTGCATAGGAATCAGAATTGGGTTAACTACACAGATATTTGACATGAAATTTGTTTGGGTGGACTGACAAAGCATGGCAAGTTTTGCCATTTGTTGTAAAGCCAAATGGGATAAGCATAATAAGCAGTAGTAACTAATCCTTGATCTGCCCTGTGGCTCATGACCAGAGTCCGGTCCTGACTGCAGCATTAGTAGACAGCCAGAATCAAACAAATGTCTTCTGTTTCAGGCAGCTGAGATGAGAACAGCTAAATGAAACAAACATGGATTCCATTGATTTACTAGGTGAGACCTGTCAAGATACTGAGGTGAAGTGATATGAATATTTTTCCCAACACATGTCCCTTAACTTTTGTGGGAGAATGTCTCTTAAACCCAAGGCCATTGAAAAATAGTTACAGCACATTCTTGTTAGGCCTTGCTACTTCTGCATGATGCTTGAGGTCTGTGTCATCATAATTGTTTGAGTGCATCATTATTTTGCCAATGTGTGCGAATTGGCAAAATAATAAAAAACAATGTGTGCATGAAGACAGCTGCATATGTGTGTCTATGAGTGCATGCATGTGTGTGTATTTGAATGCATGGTTGCTTGAGTGTATGATTGGATTGGTTATTTTTTATGAACATCTTGTCATTGCTATGTTCAGGGTTGTCTTGCCAAATGATGCTTGTTCATTATAAGCTCAGTATTCCTGAGTATACATACAACCAATTCCACATGACTCAATTCAAACAGCTGACTCCATCTCGACGTCTGTCCCGCGGGCGGGTGCCGCTGCCGCGCCAATGACGTCGCCATCCTTGACATTGCAGAGGAGGTGGGCTTCGGCGCGGCGGGCGGTGACGCGTCGGCGCCGGACCGCGACGGCTCCGACCTGACTGACACAGAGCCCGACGAGCTGGAGGACCACGCGGCCGGCGGCGGTACGGCGCGCGCACGCACGCGACGGTGCTGAGCTGGCGCGCTGCCGCTGGGGGCGGGGCGGGCAGTGCGCAGTCATAGGCTGGCAGCATTGTGGTGCACTCGGTCTGCGGCGTTTGGCAAGATTACCAAAAGACTGGTGCCTGTGACCCGGCTGTTCACGTGCTTGGTTTCCTATTTGTGGGTGTGATTGGCTGTTCCTGCGGCCGAACGCGGGCTGGGATGCAGCGAATGATCGATATCGACCGATCGAGACCGAAAGCTACTGCTCTGCCAAGCTGCTTACATTGTGCGGGGTTGATCTGGGGATGGCGGTGGCGCTGTTAGTTTGGAGTTCTAGGGTGTGTTGACTACATGAAGTCAGGCAGCTTCCGTCGATCCGGAGGTGGATGATGAGGGATTTTGAGATAACTGTGCCGCACCATGCTACATCCCGCCGCACCTACGCTCCAAGTGCTGGTGTGCCCTTGTCCTCATGATCGCCAGCTGTCCCCGTCGGACGGCACTGAAGAGCGGGGATCTCCAAAGTACACCGCACCACCTGCCACACTCCCTGCCCTGGCCTGGTCTGACGTGACCTGCCCTGCCCTGCCCTGCCCTGCCCTGCCCTGCCCTGACGTGACCTACGTTCGCCAACAGACGGTCCACCGGTGGGCGTGGCGTGCGCGGCCGTGCCGCTGCCATGGGGCGCGCGCCGCGAGCGGCTCTGCTTCCCGGCCAGTGTGTTGATCGACGCCGACCTGCGGCCGGGGGAGTTCGTCATGCGCACGCTGTTCGCCGAGTTCACCGTGCAGGCCGAGCGCAAGATCGAAGCCGTCATGATGGAGCCGCTGGTGAGACGCCGGCTGCGACGAGCCGATGCTGGGGGTGCTGGTGAGACGCCGGATGCGAATGGCCGGTGCTGGGGGCGCTGATGAGACGCCGGCTGCGGCGGGCCGGTGCTGGTGTGACGCTCCCTGGCCACAGGAGCGACCACTGTCCAGTGTCCGCCTGGGATGGGTGTGTTGTTACCTCTGAGCCGACCGTGACGCTCCCTGGCCACAGGAGCGACCACTGTCCAGTGCCCGCCTGGGACGGGTCTGTTGTTACCTCTGAGCCGACCGTGACGCTCCCTGGCCACAGGAGCGACCACTGTCCGGTGTCCGCCTGGGATGGGTGTGTTGTTACCTCTGAGCCGACCGTGACGCTCCCTGGCCACAGGAGCGACCACTGTCCGGTGTCCGCCGGGGATGGGTGTGTTGTTACCTCTGAGCCGACCGTGACGCTCCCTGGCCACAGGAGCGACCACTGTCCGGTGCCCGCCTGGGATGGGTCTGTTGTTACCGCTGACCCGACCGTGACGCCCCCGGCCACAGGAGCGACCACTGTCCGGTGCCCGCCTGGGATGGGTCTGTTGTTACCGCTGACCCGACCGTGGCGCTCCCGGCCGCAGGAGCGACCGCTCTCGAAGTCCCTGCAGCGCGGCGAGGACGCCCAGTTTGACCAGATGCTGTCGACGTTCGGCTCGGTGGCCGAGCACTGTCTGCCGTCGTTGCTGCGCACCCTGTTCGCCTGGTACGACCGGCAGGGTGTGGACGTGGCCGCCGAGCTACGGCCGGCACGCACCGACGCCAAGGGCAGGCTGTGAGTACCGGCGCGGCACCAGCGCTGGCGCGTGACGGAGCTGGCGTGGTGACCGGAGCTCCCCTCACGTGGCGTCGTGACGCACGCTCCCCTCGCGGAGGTGACGTGGCGACGCACGCTCCCCTCACGGATGTGACGTGGTGACCCAAGCTCCCTTCACGGAGGTGATGTGGTGACGCACGCCCCCCTCGCGGAGGTGACGTGGTGACGCACGCTCCCCTCACGGAGGTGACGTGGTGACCCGAGCTCCCCTCACGGAGGTGTCGTGGTGACGCACGCTCCCCCCACGGAGGTGACGTGGTGACGCATGCTCCCCTCACGAAGGTGACGTGGTGGCCCGAGCTCCCCTCACAGAGGTGACATTGTGACGCACGCTCCCCTTACGGAGGTGGCGTGGTGACGCACGCTCCCCTCACGGAGGTGACGTGGTGATCCACGCTCCCCTCACGGAGGTGGCGTGGTGACCCGAGCTCCCCTCACGTGGCGTGGTGACGCACGTTCCCCTCGCGGAGGTGACGTGGTGACGCACGCTCCCCTCACGGAGGTGACGTGGTGACCCGAGCTCCCCTCACGGAGGTGTCGTGGTGACGCACGCTCCCCTCACGGAGGTGACGTGGTGACGCATGCTCCCCTCACGAAGGTGACGTGGTGGCCCGAGCTCCCCTCACAGAGGTGACATGGTGACGCACGCTCCCCTTACGGAGGTGGCGTGGTGACGCACGCTCCCCTCACGGAGGTGGCGTGGTGACCCGAGCTCCCCTCACGTGGCGTGGTGACGCACGTTCCCCTCGCGGAGGTGACGTGGTGACGCACGCTCCCCTCACGAAGGTGGCGTGGTGACGCACGCTCTCTCACGGAGGTGACTGGTGACGCACGCTCCTCTCACGGAGGTGACATGGTGGCGCACGCTGCCATCACGGAGGTGACGTGGTGACCCGAGCTCCCTTCACGGAGGAAGCGTGGTGACGCACGCTCCCCTCACGGAGGTGACGTGGTGACGCACGCTCCCTCACGGAGGTGACGTGGTGACGTGGCGACGCACGCTGCCTCACGGGGGTGACGTGGTGACACACACCCTCACGGGGGTGCAGTGGCCCGTTTTAAGATGTTGCTTAGTTTTGACAGTACTGGAAGTGAACGACTTTTACGTGTCACACAGTTGACGTGCATCGATGGTAAACATATGCCGTCGTTGCTGATGAAAGGTGTCGTTCTGGCTAATCGAAAAGGTCGTTGCTGATGATTGTAACGAGGCACAACTACATGCAACATTCCAGACTGTTGCAATCATGGTCATTATATTACATAGATCGATGACTTCAAGTGCATATAATATTAAACAATATTTCACGTACAGCACCCTGCCAGGCCCGGGTAACGGTGCTCGCATGAAGAGGGATATAAACTTCTCTGCTACGCGGTGAAAAAGGTGCATGCGCATTTTGGCACCTTTCCAGAATCAAAATGAACAGAATCTGTGAATTTCATCAAATCGTCGACTTAATTAAGAATGTACAGCTGGTGAACGTGTGTGCGCATACCTCAAAGTAATGCTTGCAGACATAATGTTTTGAGATGAAGTAAGATATTGTGAGGCAAAACTTTTACTGTTCTGGATTTTCACTTTTTTCGTATATTCTAGCACCCGTTCACCCTACCGAAATGTGATTTTGAAACGCTGAAATAATGAGTCGCGGGAAGGCGGGCCAAAATCGGCGACGATTTCGGCTTCCCGCAGCTCAGATCTTACTTCTTGATGTCATGCACTCGCACACAGGGGTCCATATGCCAGGCACATACGTGATAAATTCACACGCACGCACGCACGCACGCACGCACGCACGCACGCACGCACGCACGCATGCACGGTGAGTTGGGACTGTGCTGCATTTCCATAGCAGGCGGTTGGTGTCAACCACCTAGAATGGGGTGTGTATTTGGGAAATCTGTATTAAGGCCAGCGCGGCGGCGTCGACCCAGCGCAGCGTGCGGCCTGCGCTCTAACACGAGCCGGTGACGTGCCCCGACAGAGAGCCGACCACGGACCGACTGGAGCGGGAGCACCGCGAGGACCGCCGCGACCTGGCCGTCGAGTTCATCTTCTGTCTGGTGCTGATCGAGGTGCTGCGCCAGTTCTACCTGCACCCGGGCCACGAGGACCTGGTGCGCCACCTGGAGAACCTTGCCTTCCGACACTTCAAGTACCGCGAGAGGTACGGCGGCGCGTGGCGGCGGCGGGGTCAGCGCGATGATCACGAACATAAACGACGTGGTCACGAACATGAACAACATGGTTACTCAAGGGCATTTTTGTGTTTATACAACAAAGCTGCTCCATAAAGAGACTAGTTATGCGATAATTTTTTTTTTGTCTCACATCTACAGACTCGTGTTCAATTTTGCTTGTGTGGAGTTCATTCGAACTTTGTTACAGTATCTGAAACTGTTTTCTGGCTCTTAGGGGAAAAACCACAAATTTTAAAATCATGGCTTGTAGTGAGAACAAAATAACCCAGGTGAATTTGCACCGTGTTGACAGCTGGCATTGAAGAACATTATTTGGCAGCAGATCATAGTAAACACCATGCTCTAGCTGGTCTCAGTGATTGCCAAAGACCGTTAGAGGTTGGCTGCTTGCAATTCTTAAATTTTCTAGCTTCCTAAGTAAGTGCTTCCTTCCTAAGTCTATGCTCACACTTAGTGTATTTTTCGAAGCTATGGAGCTGATTGAAAGTTGTTGACAATTCTATTGTAAAGGTGTGAGTCTCAATTAAGGCTGATAGAAACCAATGCTTAACATGTGGTGCACCTCTTGAAAATTTCCCAGAGCACATTATGACAAATTTATGGTTGAAGTGTCATGCGAGCCACATATAACATAAATAGGAGCATCTGGGGCATAGTTAGTGCAGCTACATCCTAGCCAAGGTTCAATCTCTCTCACCTAAGGAAAAGATTCTGGGGCAATGTGATACTCACCTGGGCTTTTACTGACCTTGGGCTTTTACTGATCTAGATATACTTAATTTGGGACCAGGGGTGTGTGGTTTCCCATTTAGTTGGATGGGATGCTAGTCCCTCCCCCAACTTTAAGAAGAAACTTGGCCAAAATCAGGGAGAGCATGGTTTGTACTATTTATTTGGGATGAAGAATTTCCGTGCTCACCCGCTCCTCAAAGTTATGTACAAAACTACACCATCTGGGACGTTAGGCTGCTGCGTGATCGGGGCCCAGAGGTCAATGCGGCAGGGGCGGAGGAATCATTTTTTATGGAGCAAGCCAGCCGTACAAAGCGAGCATCGCTACATCTACTCACCGCCGTTGAGTCTGATACAATACTTTTCTACGTGTTTGACACTGAGCTGAATTCACATATTGCCTTTATCTAAACTACCACCCAATCGCGCTATCACCGCCCGCAACGGCTTCTCACGCGGCTCCTCTCCAAGAAACGTCGGAAGGCTACATGAATGACGCGCGCGGAATCACAGTCTTCAACGACAGAGCCGCTGTAAGTTATTTATCGGTTTTGATGTTACTTTTTAGGACCTTGATGGTTTTGGTAAGGTTATTCATCAGCAAAACCCGGCTCAAATAAAATACCTCAAAAAGCGCAAATAATTATATAAAAACAAAAACAAAAATTCTGCTCATTGGAGAACAATATTTTTCTGCTTCGTGCCTTCGTGCCTTCAATGTGCCTTCTCTGCTTTAGCTTTATACTCAGATCATAAGTCTGTGGCAACGTTCTGTAGGTCGATAGAAAAATTTCATCCTTTTTGCTAATGCCCCTTTTATGCGTTTTCATTACGTATTCAGCTCGGATTTCTTGGTGTAGAATGTGCCTTCTCTAATGCCAAATCCTCCCCAAAAGCCGGCGACTCTGAGGAGCCGTGGATCTCCGCGTGCCCAAGCGAGTGTTTGGGATGGTGTTTACCATTATACCTTCTATACGGTCTCTATCTTTGATAGATTCAAATGGAAATTGAATAAGGGTACTGTTTTAAAGAGGAAAACAAGTATTTTTTTCACCAATATGCAATCAAGTCATGGTATGTTTAGAGGTATATGTTAGTGCGACATCATGTACTTTCGTATCAATCTTTATTGTGTTACAATGATTTCCACGTGCAATCCAGAAACGTTGAACCGTGACACATACGAGATGTTCTCTGTTCTCTCGCTTCCCCATGGTCCGTCAAGGGACGTTATTGTTGTTCTGAGTGCGGGCTCAGGCCCGGCGTCTGAGCGCGTCGCTGTCGTTTGTGGACGGTAGGTGGGTTAAACATGTGCTGGTGAGCAGCATTGGAGCTGGGCACTGAGTGCATTGAAAGGAAAGATTATGTGTGATATGGTAGAGACATTCGGCTGAAACCCGCAAGCAGTACCCCTCGTTTAGTCTTGTGACTGTCGCGCGATGCGGTCGAAGTTTCAGGAGCACCTTGCCTTCATCTCACATTGCTCACAGAGAACAGTTTTGATATCCATTCCAGTGTATATTCTTTCAAGTGTGTAAGTTTCAGACACTGCCTTGTTAGAACACGAAAATCGGTTGTTATTCGCGATGCGTTATATTCGGTTATATCCAAGGCCGCACATCGCTCACCACATTACACAGTGTAAGCTTGATTTGATTGAACTCAAATTTTCACACATGGATTCCCCGCTTATTTAGCGTAACGTTGATCCGCTTCGTAGTTGATTCAGACTCGCCCCGGAGTTTGGCACAATTTCGCACGCCTGTCGCAAAATTGCAGGCAATCTTCTCGTGCTTTGAACAGCACCCGTACTCGTTCTCCCGTCATGAACACCAATGTCAGCGCTGAAATGTTCCACAGCACGTCGGCCGGGCCCAACTCGTCGAACGTGAACATCATCGCGGACCTGTACGCCGAGGTGACGGGCGTGCTGGCTCAGTCCCGCATCCACTCTGTGCGCGCCCGCTTCATGCACGAGCTGCGCGAGCTGAACGCCAAGGAGAGCAGCCAGCAGACGACGCAGGGCATCATCGCACTACTCATGGGCATGAAGTTCTTCAGGGTCAAGGTGAGTGACCAGCCGGCCGCGCCGTGTGGGCAGAGGTCGGCGAGGCCTGTGCTGGGTCGGCTGATCCTCTGGGTGGCCTGGTTCGCAATGGAACACGAACTACGGGTAGGAAACTTGGAGTGCGTACATACAACGTGGTTTAGGTGGCACTTGTTGCTGAGGTAACCTTTTTAATGCCGGATGCACCTGTGATTTAGTTTCCGATAGACAAATTGTGTTACTGGTGGCTGGGGGAGGTGTTAGGTCCTACCACCTGTATCCCTGTGTCCCTACCACCCGTGTCCCTGGCGTGGGACGGCAATGTGAACACAGGAAGGCTATCATTGCCTCGCGCATTGTTTGTAATGGATGGTTGTCACCAAGTTGCAGTCGTTACCGATTTATGTAATCACATCCTCTTGTAGCACGCATTGTGAGGCGTTGATCCTTGAAGCACCAAAGACTAGCGGGTCGTGGCTCGCGCTCAGTTGCACACGCGCGTGTACCGCGCCTAAGGTTTGGCCTTGTTAGGGCACCTGCACATGCTGCTCCCAGTCGAGGCGTGTTCATCCCGTGCCGCGAAGAACGCGGGCGGCGAAGATCAATACCGTATCGCGACCCTTATTTTGTCGACCACGGCTTTTCCTTTTTTGAGCATCAGGTAAAAACAAGAAACACCAAAATGGACTAGGGGCTTGGGGTACACCAACATTAGGGTCATTTTGACATTCATCATTTTAGCTTTTATTCGCGCAGCGTTAGTGTGTGTCTGAGCCTGCCATCTGCACCCGCCCCTCAGATGGTTCCAATCGAAGAATTTGAGATCAGCTTCCAGTTCATGCAGGAGCTGTCGCAGTACTTCCTAGAGGTCAAGGACAAGGACATCAAGCACGCGCTGGCTGGCCTGTTCGTCGAGATCCTGGTACCCGTGGCAGCGGTGAGTGGACCGGCGCTAGGCCGTGGACACCCAGCTGGTGACAGCCGGTAACCTCAGCGTACCACCAGAGGTCTCCTGGCCCCGCGTCTAATCCCTCGCATGGGTGCCACAAGCCAGCAAATGCACCCATCTCGCAAAATAGGTATAAGCGTTCACAGCCGTTGTTTACTTCAGTCATGATTGATTGGGAGTTTTGGACTTAACCTGTTATTGACACAGCCCACGTAACGTGGAAGGAGCCATTAATGTGTGGGCAGCTGCTTGTCTTGGCATGGACCGCATACAGACGGAACAACAGACGCATCAGCAGCCTGAACTCCGCCAAACACCTGGCGTGCCCCTTGCTATGTGCGAGCCGCCACGCGCTAAACGGCAGTGACCTGGTGGCCTCAAATACGTCATACGTGCGGCACGAGCACGCAAACACGCTACACTTGATGAGAGTGTGGTGAGTCGACTTGGTATCTGCTGTACTTTCTCGCTGCGCCCAAAGTACTGTCAGCATACTGCCCGAGAACAGGCCACCGCCTGTCTCAGTTACGGAGGTGTAAAACGAGCGGGACCACATCGCACGCACGCCGAGCTTTCATTTCCTAGACGGAAGGTGCGCTATGCACATGTCGACCTCCCTCCCACGCCCAAAACTTGGCCATCGTGGCTGGACGCGCCGTCGATCCGGCAGCGACCCGGGTCTCAGTGACTCCATGGCCCGGGCCAGCAGCTGCTGCGCTGCAATGACCCCATCCAGAACGATGCGCACGCCCAAGGGGTCTGCTGGACCGGCCTGCTGCCACGCGGCCGCCGTGGGTCGTAGATCACGTGGGCGCCTCGTCCGTTGTCAAACTGCTGGCGATATTTTGTCGTGGTACGAGGCAGCCGATACACGGGCGGATTTTTAGCGCGTAACGCGTCAGTTTATGCATACACGCACCGAAATGTATCAAGCCTGGGATGCGGCCGGAACTGTGGGGATGATCTTCGTGAATGATAGATAAACTGATAACTGACAAGATCAACTGTGTTGCAGTGCGTGAAGAACGAGGTGAACGTGCCGTGTCTGAAGACGTTCGTGGAGATGCTGTACACGCACACGCTGGACATGTGCACCAAGGGCAAGCACCGGCTGGCGATCTTCCCGTTGGTCACCTGCCTGCTCTGCGTCTCCCAGAAGCAGTTCTTTCTCTCCAACTGGCACTACTTCCTGGCCATGTGCCTCTCCAACCTGAAGAACAAGGACCCCAAAATGTCGCGCGTGGCGCTAGGTGCGTTGTGCGGCCTCGCGGCGGACCCAGTGGGCGCTGAGACCGGCTCTGCCTGACCCGGCACTTCTCGAATGCTTGGCCTGGGTCTCGGGTATCACTGGCTTTCGAGGAACCCGTGGCTCGCACCTGCTGCATGCTGGCATACCACGGACAGTACCGGCTTATTCTAGCTTAGTCCGTGGCGGGCGATGAAATAGGGGCCATAGCGCCATGTCCACACGATGTTGAGAAAGGTCCACACTCGTAATAATGAAGAAGACATAGGCGGATAGGGTGGGAAGGGGATTGAACAGTTCGTTTGTGGCCATTAACTGGGGCCCATGGTCAACAGGCGGATATTGGAATAAGTAGGGGCTACACAGGTAATAGCCGATGATCGGGAGGCCGAAAGCATACATAGACGAACAACATACTGTTTTGTTAGTATTGTGGTTCTCGTTTCAAGGCTGGAAGCTCGATACCATAAGTACCGTCGCGGAACTCCCCAGTGTCTCCCTTTAGGCTGTGGGTCTTTATAATACCCTTCCGATGTATGAAATTGGTAAGTGTCTCGTGATAAGGTTGAAAGTTGGGTTTTACGGACTTCACTTCAGCTGCGGTCTCGCCCGCCGCCGGTAAGACGGCTGTTGGCTTTGCAGAGTCGCTGTACCGGCTGCTCTGGGTGTACATGATCCGGATCAAGTGCGAGAGCAACTCGGCCACGCAGAGTCGCCTGCAGTCCATCGTGAACTCGCTCTTCCCGAAGGGCTCCAAGAACGTGGTGCCGCGCGACACACCGCTCAACATCTTCGTCAAGATCATACAGTTCATAGCACAGGTGGGTCTCTCGACCGAGTGTCATGGCGATCTCGCGCTGGGTGTCGTCACTCCGGGTCAGACCCTGGCCCCAGGTGTTGGCCGTGGGTTTCTTTGGGTTGCTTTGGCTAGGGGTTTGTGGGCCATCATCGACGAATTCGAAGATGTGGAGTTACGGGTGTTCTATAAAGTGGATTAGCTTTTGCGGAGCTGCCTTACTTCTTGGTTTGTTGTGAGCCGGGCTGCATTACCTCCGATATCAAGGCTAACTCCGGTCGTGAAACCCAAGCGACATTGTGCTCGGCTAGAGCTCCCATCCAGGACGGGACCACGAGGCCAACTCATTCGTCAATAGTCACATCCTTCTCCCAGGGAGACGAGGTGTCGCCGGACGCAGGCTGACGTGGGGGCCATGCAAAACGGCGGAGACGGTTGACTCAGCAAGAGATCACTTGGAGCTTTGCATTGGCGTAGTCCTGTCTGTTCCCCGCATCTTAAGACGTATGACACGCTGTGCCGCATGCACCGCGTCCGTGCCGATCAAGCCCATGCTCAGTCCTGCATTCATCGCAATGAAACGGTGAAACATGCAGTCATACCTAGATGACATTAGACACGGCCAAGGGACAAGTCGCGGCCAAAAATGTGGGGACTAACACATGGACGGCAACGGCACCTATCCTGGCCCCGTCGGCAGGAGCGGCTGGACTTCGCCATGCGCGAGATCGTGTTCGACCTGCTGTCGGTGGGCCGGGCCGTTAAGATCGTCACGACACCGGAGCGCATGTCAATCGGGCTGCGCGCCTTCCTCGTGGTGGCCGACAGTCTGCAGCAGAAGGAGGGCGAGCCGCCCATGCCGCGTACCGTCGGCGTCCTCCCCTCCGGTGAGTGGTGAAGGGCATGGGAAAGGGTCTGGGGCCCGCGTATGGCGCTTGCACCGTCGGCTTCCCCCGGTCCGGCGAGCGGCGATGGTGGGGTGGGTACTGGTGTAAGGCAGTGGAAATCCTGCCTTTGATGCTATCAAAGTCGTGTCAAACTTTAAGATTTCGTTAGATTTAGATGGCTTGTTGAGAGCAGCAGCATTCGCTGGCTGGCCTCGGCATGCGCCGGCCGCCGTCCTCATGCCCCTCTCGGCCGTCGTCCTCATATCTCTCTTGGCCGCCGTCCTCATGCCGCTCTCGGCCTCCGTCCCCATGCCGCTCTTGGCCGCCGTCTGCATGCTCCTCTTGGCCGCCGTCCCCATGCCACTCTCGGCCGCCGTCCTAACGCCTCTCTCGGCCGCCGTCCTCATGCCTCTCTCGGCCGCCGTCCTCATGCCCCCTCGGCCGCCGTCCTCATGCCTCTCTTGGCCACCGTCCTCATGTCACTCTCGGCCGCCGTCCTCATGCCGCTCTCGGCTGCCGTCCTCATGCCCCTCTTGGTTACCGCCCTCATGCCCCTCTCGGCCGCAGGCAACACGCTGCGCGTGAAGAAGACGTTTCTGAGCAAGATGTTGACGGACGACGCGGCGCGCAGCATCGGCGTGGCCACATACTACCCGTACGTGCGCAAGGTGTTCAGTGACATCCTGCGCGCGCTGGACGGCCAGTTCGGCCGGCCCCTCATGATGACCAACACGCAGAACGTCAACAAGGTGAGGCCGGGCGCGGCGTCGACGGATGGTGAAGCGGACGGGCCGGTCGGACGAGATGGGGGCAGTCTTGGTAGCTGTTGGTTGTGCTTGTAGAGCTTGATCAGGGGACGAGTGGACTATTCTGTGTGGGTTTTCGGTCGTCCTCTAGCTGTTTACCCGTGTCCGCGGTCGCCCTGTTGTCCTGTGATTTGGCCCACCGGGCTGGTATTGTGGTGCTGACTTTGGTGCTAGGTCTGCGCGCTTTGGTAAGTGCGATCAGCCCGTACCGCACTGTAGCAGGCCGGGCACTTGGGATACTTTGCTTGCCTCCTGTTTTCGTTCTGACGCCCATCGATGGGGCCGTTGAAGCCTGCTGGTAACGCATTGCGTTTTTATGGACAACTACCATTGATAAACCTTGTTGAAGTAATTGCGCGAAAACCAACTGACCGTCGAGCAATGCCCGGTCACATCCAGCCTGGATCTCTCGTGAGCCATACTCCGCTGCTGTGCTCCACTCTCGGCAGCGGCTGCTCGCCACTAGCCCGTGAGCGAAGCCGTCCGTCCGCCTGGCGAGGCCAGCCTCCCCTGACGCCGGCCGTGTGACGCAGGAGCCGGACGAGCGCATCACGGGCGAGCGCAAGCCCAAGATCGACCTGTTCCGCACGTGCGTGGCGGCCATCCCGCGCCTGGTGCCCGACGGTCTTACGCGCCACGACCTGATCGAGATGCTAGCGCGGCTGACGGTGAGCGTCGCCGCCGGCCGCCCGCCGCCCGCCGCCCGCCGGACGGCCGGCGCGTCCTCTCACCGGCTTCTGAGCGTGTTTCAGTGGTCATGTTGATCGCCCACTTCGGTTAAGGCTTGTTTTAAAAATCACCCACTTGAAAGGGCAATTATTAAAGGAATTTTGACATTCTGTTAAATGCATGCATATTGAATAACAGGAGTCGTAGAAAAAGGATCGATTCTCCCGTGCCCGTGATTGTCATAATCCATACACTTTGCGTCCTGCAGCTCGTTGCGCCTACCGTATTTGGGTGTAATGACTCGTTTCCAAATAATCGTTGTACTATGCAGAAATCATGTGATAAATTCCGTTCTTAAGGCGCACTGAACGCAACACAAAGGACTTATACGGCGCACCTGGGCGAGGCCTTGGGTACGTGCGGGGTGCTGGCGGGCGCGTGCTCGTGCTCATGTGTGTGTGTGTGTGTGTCCTGTGGAGCGGCGTGCCGCCCTGCTGGGGGCCCGGCTGACCGGCGCCGTGCGGCTCGCGCTCCGACTCCAGGTGCACATGGACGAGGAGCTGCGCGCGCTCAGTATCCAGAGTCTGACCAACCTGGCGGTGGACTTCCCCGACTGGCGGGAGGACGTCGTGCTGGGTGAGTGAGCGCTCGTGTGGTGGCGCCAGCGGCTGCCTGCTGACAGCGCCGAACGCCTGCGTACTCAGCTGGCTTATGCTCACACCGAGGTGACGGAAGCTGCGTTGTAACCGGCTCCGGCGTCCACAGCGCCAGATTATCGGTCGTTATGATCATGCATGGTGTAGATTATATACATACGAAGGCTGGGACTGATTCCAGGGTGCCCTGGTGTCTTTGTGGCCATTATGTTTCTGGGCTCACCGTGCTACTGCTAGTGGCTACTGACAGTTCCCCTTAGAAACCCCCTGGATGGGACGATCGTAGGGTGTTTTTGTTTTTGGGATCACGTAGTGTTTGGATCTCTTGGTGCTGCTAATACCCAATAATGCAATTTTCCGCCCCTTCTTCTATTCTGGTGGCATCTCCGGCCAGGATGAGGACTGCTGACCATGGTGGCGGCACATTGTGCCGCCGCCTTATCGGGGCCGGAGACTGACCTCTGGCGCGCGGTGTGTAACGTAGCGAGCAGCCGCTCAGGCCAGCCTGCAGGATCGAGTGTCATGGGCTCCAAATAGCTCTGAGCTCCTTTCTGGGCACGCCAGGGTGTTGGCAAATGCACTTGCGCGGCCAACCCGCCATATATCAATCTAGAGTTCGACATTTCGACGACGCCCTCGATTCTTGTTATCGGCGTGGAACGGAAGCGTCAACAGGCTTGAAAAGCTGCGAAGTGTTCACTACGTCTAGCATAATGGCAGTGATTGAATTATGAGATGTCCTGAGCGTGGACAACATCATACCGGCGTGCGTCGATCAGTGACCGTTTGCTATGTTTGTGTGACGAACGGCGGCCACCTGACGCTGGCAGCAGGTGAGCGTAACCTGACATCGGTGACGGCGGTCCGTCTGCGGGCCGCCCGGCGTGACCCGGTCCACCGTCTCACCGCCGCCACCGCGTGCGCTCTCCGACAGGCTTCATCTGGTTCATGAGCCGCGAGGTGGCCGACACCTCGCCGACGCTGCTCGACAACGGCCTGCGGATGGTGCTGCAGCTGATGACGTCGTGGCGCAACGCCATATCGATGCCCGCCAACGGCTCGACCATCAAGCGGCGCGAACTGAACGCCGTGGCGCCACCGCCGCCCTCGCAGGTGAGGCGCCGGGCCCCTGCCTGTTACGCGCCATTTCGCTGTGGGCGCCGGGCCTCTGCCCCGTTACGCGCCATTTCGCTGTGGGCGCCGAGCCTCTGTCCTGTTACGCGCCAGTTCGCTGTGGCGAGCTCGCCTGCTAGCGGTCCCACAGGCCATAGTGGTTGACGTTTCTACGGTTTGCGCTCTGGCCATCGGAGATTAACGTTTTGCGATGTGCGGCAGAGAAGTGCGGGTAAACAGGGCCGTGTCACGGAGCTGTCCCGTTATCCCGTCTGTGACCGCGCACTGCCCGCCGTGCACCCACCACTCGCTGCCGGCGGTGGGCGACCGCCGCGTGCCGCACGCTCCGTCTGCGCGCGCGTGACGTGTGTGGCGCGCCGGACAGCGGACGGACCAGACCAGCGTGCTGCACATGGTGGAGGGGTTCGCGCTGGTCATGCTCTGCCACTGCCGGCTCTCCGTGCGCCGGCTGGCCGTTCATATCCTGAAGGAGGCGAAGCTGCTGCTGCGCGCCGTCGGTAAGCCATCCTCGAGAGCAGGCCTGCCCGCCGGTAGCTGTGATATAATGGTGCTGCGGGCATACTCTGTTGTGCCTTAAGTGGACATATGGAGGTTAATTGTGCGGGCGGCGTTGCGGGCCGTTTGGGTGTAGTGAACGACGCTGGCCTGAGATACCGTCGGTTGATGGTCTCCATGTCCTGTTCTCTTTCTGATCGGATGGTACGCTGGCAATGCCCTCCAAAGCTTGCCACCGATCGTCGCCGGTCTTGTGCTCGTCACACACACTGCCAGCGCTGCCTGTGGACCGAGCCTTCGCGGGCTCCGCCTCCGCGCGGGCGCCACGTGGCCTGCCGGGCCGACTGTTGGCGTGAGACGGGCGCGCCGGGCCGGCAGACTGCCAGCGACCGGGCGAGACGCCGGCCATCGACGTGCTGGACGCCGCTTGCCCGGCGCTGGCCGAGCGCTGCCTGCCGCTCCTGCCGCCGGCCGAGAAGGCGGCTGTCCTCTCGACGGCCTGTGTGGACCTGCAGTGGATCGCCGAACGCAACGCCACCGTGTGGACGGCCGGTCAGTGGGGCAGTGGGCAATGGGTAATGGGCAGTGGGCAATGGGCAATGAGCAGTGGGCAGTGGGCAGCCGCGGGCGCCCGCGCAGTGGGCCGGGTTCTCTCGTATGTGTGTGAGCAGTGGGCCACCTCACTGCCAACATGAAGCAGAGCATCGGCCCAGGTCTGGGTGGGCGTGGCTGCCAGGGTCGGGATCAGGGCAAGACTTGGTTAGCTGTTACAGAAGCAGCTCCCAAATTGTCATTCTGGTGATTTTTGTTCGTGGGAAGTGAGTTTTTTAAGTTGAAGAAGTTGAATTTGCAGGAGTTGAAGTTGAAGAAGTTGGTTTTTTGTTGGTTGGTCATCATATGTATTTGACAGTACCATGGGGATACGCGTAAAAAATGGCACACTTGACTTGCAGTGTTCAGATCAGTTAGTAAAACGCAGTATGGTGCTGCGGATGACAACTTGAAGGCAGAGGCAAACACGCAGCCGCCCCGGCCTGAGGTGTTTGCGCTGTTCTTGGGCGAGTGCGGGTGAGTTCGACAAGGGGAGTGGACCAGGGGAGGGGGGAAGCAGATGGACTCTGGTGGGCTGGTTCAGTGTCCCGGACTGGCTTCCCCGTGCCAGCCTGGTGAGAGCAGAGGTGCCACCCCCCCCCCCCCCCCTGCCCCTCTGGTGACTGTCTTCTCTGCGGCTCAGGGGCAGCCAGCTCGTGCCCGGCGGCACTCCCCGGGTTCGCCCCTCAGGGGCCGCCCCCTGATGTCTGTCTTCTCCCCTGCGCTCGCCATGTCCGCGGCCTTGGTGTTCGTCGCCGAAGAAAGGGCGCGGCTGTTCTGGAGCGGCTGTTGAGTCTGACGGGCTCACTTCACATACTTCAACTGAGCCCAACTTTGGTGTCGCGCGGCCATTTCTTTCTTGCCCCGAGCGATCGATCTGGGAGTGATCTGACCGGTTGTGTAGTGCGGATGTCTCGACCAGGCTTAACCGGGTCCCCAGCCATGTTGGCGTGGTGGGTAACGAGCAAGAGAGCGTCTCTGCGAGCAATCCTGCCTGTGGAAATCTATCTCCAAAACCTATCCCCAAAACCTATCCCCAAAAGCTCAAAAGAAGAACTTGGAACCGTCCGCCGTTTTCAACTTAGGAACTCTGAACTCATGATGTCGAAAAATAGGGATATTAAGTCCTTGATTATATCTAGGAATCTGCCCCATCCCTGTCCTCCATTCATTGTGATGCCTGTCTTTGATCTGAGGCCGGTGATCCCCAACACCGGTCATGAGACGTTGGGGAGTGTTCTAGACCAGCATCTTCACCTGTTTAGAGAGGTCAGGAGGTCAAGAGGTCGGTAACTCAGCCCACTGCCGGGAGAACCGCTGCGAGGAAGTTGCGCTTTGTCGGTTGTGATTGGGACATGCGCACACCATACCGCCTTACCTGGCGGACCAAGGAGCACCGCAGTGTGAGAGACTGCAGGAGCCGCTGCCCTGTCTCGCCGTCCCATGCCGCCGCTGCGGACCGGATGGGCGCCGGTATGTCACACCGGCCCCTGACCCCGGCTGATGTGACAGGATAGGTGCTGCTGAATGACAAACATGCTCGGCTTCTCAACACATGCTAGTTTTCTACCGCTTACATCCAATCCACGTTGAAGGTACATGAGGGGGAACCGCATTATGGTAGAGCATTAGAACTCTGGACACAACGTTTGGATCGTTTGTGGGAGAGCTCAAATGACCGAAATGTCGACCGACGGCAAATGACCGCAATGACGGCAGTGACACGCACGCACAGAAAAACACCACATCAACGAGATCCGCCCCTTGATGCACCCTTTCGAAATGTTGCCTTGCTTTGAGATGGAACATATGTTTTGCAACTATGAAACGCAGCCTCATTTTAGGGAAAGAAAAAAATTTGGCAACATATCGGGGGTGATTAAAAATTTGGTCCCAGGTCCAACCAAGCATCATGGTTAAGTTGGCGCCGATGGCCGCCGCTCCCTTGTTTACTTCGTAGATCTGTGGATCTGCACGCTTTTGCGATACAAACTGAGAACATCATAGACGTCTAGGTAAGGCCAGAGCAGCAATAGCATTGGAACAAACTAAGATTAACTGCCGAAAAAGGAAGGAAAATCCGTCATTTTTGCCATAAGCTCTGGGTGAAGTGACATCAGTATCAAATCCATTTGCGAATTGACGACTCCTGTTTCATTTTAGGTGTATTTGCCTACAACAGTAAGCTTATTGCCTTGACAGAGAAATGTGTAGGATTTCATTCGCGGACGGGCTGGTCTAGTGTCGCGTGTCGCAAATCCAGCGGGGACCCCGGTGCCCATGAAGGCGTCATGCTAGTCAGAATCGGTCGGATCGTAGTAAACAATTTTGAAAGCCTTGATCCACCGCGCAGGAAGTGTAGGAAGTGTAGGAAGCTTTTAGGTTGCCGAAAATTTTTATCAACATGTTATTATGGGCTCACATATTTGGCCATCATTGGTGACGCGTTCCTGTCACAACTCAGCCGCTTTCATTTCTGACTAATATATATTTTTAGCCATTTACCGTCGTAGGCAGTCATTTAGCTGTTATGGGCGCAAAATGACCGCAGTAGTCGGCGCGCCCTAAAACTCCAATCAACAACATGATCCACCGCACAGCCCTCGCCGACACCCAGACCGGTCCCAGCGTATGACTGTGTCGGGTTTGGCGTGCAGGGGAGCGAGACAATCACACGAGCAAAATGGGTCGTCAGTTTTACACACGCACGCACGTACGCACGCACGCACGCACACGCATATATATATATATGTATATATATATATATATATATATATATATATATATATATATATATATATATATATATATATATATGTATTCACATACACATGAGCACTCAAGAGAGGCATGGACAACAAACGAATTGTGTGTGGACAGTGTTACCGACTTTTGCGGAAATAGTGATATTGAGCTGGAGTTTCAACTCCCAGCCTCTAGGACAGAGCGCACGTGAAGTTTGGCAGTATAGCGCGTCGGACTCCCACTTGAGGGCCTCGGTTCGATCCCCGGTTGCGCTGTGCCCCCTGAGCGCTAATGTGGCTAATGCGGTCGCTGGTGCTCCATGAAAGGGGAACGTGCCGCACGTGGTCACACCACTTGAAGGGGAACATGAGGCACGTCGGCACGCCTTTGTTATGGAACGCCGGCGACTGCATTGGCCACATTAGCGCTCAGGGGTCATGTCGTGACCAGGGATCGAACCCAGGCGCCCCAGTGGGAGTCCCATGCTCTACCCAGTCGGCCATTTCTCCCCCGAAGCTTGACAGTGGAGTTATTGTCCGGGTATGTAGAGGGAGCTGGTGCGAATGTTTAGTTGTGGCAGGATGAAGGAGCGATACAATTATATGAGGCCGCTAAGTGGTTGTGATCGGGCGTTTGCATTGCGCAAGTTGAGCCGTGTGGCATGTTGTGCGGTTGTCCGTCCGCTTTCACCCGCGGGCCGCCCCTCAGCAGCGCCGTCTGCCGGCAGGCATACACGACGACGGCGCGCAGACGGGCTCCGTGCCGCACCCGAGCCCGGGCGCCGACGCCTGGGCCGTCTGCCTGCAGGGCTTCCTGGAACACGGCCGGCTGGCGGCGCTGGCGCCGGCCGCCACCGCGCACGCCTGGCCGCTGGTCCACCACCGCATCCAGGCCCTCTTCACCGTCATCGACCCCACGTGCGTCAGCAGCGCGCCGCCGCCACCGGGTGGCTCACACGGACGTAGTCGTTAGAGTGGCGTGCTGGTGGCCGATGTGGGTAGTGTTTTTGTACGGTGCCTTGCAATTTTTGTTGGCGATGTATTGTTTGTGAGTTTGTTTGAGGGAAAACAGGGTTGTTACAATTACAATTTACGCACTAGTGGTGTTTGAATGATTTATGTAACTTCGCTTGCTTTGGTCTAACTACTCGTAATGTCGCCCATAACACACGCGAGCCGTCGCCTTCTCCGACACGGGATGTGGTCACGTCATCACACGTACAGCGTCGTTCTGATAGCTGGGCGGGCCACGGTTCTGGTGTCACCATGCGGCCGTGACCTGCGCCGGCGTGGTCAGCCCGCTGCGGTGCGCCTCCACTGCCGGGGCGACCGCGCCGCCGCGACCGGCCGCCAGCGGCGCTCTGCCCCGCCTCAGCGTCCGCTGACTTCGGCAGACCCGTGAGCGACAACCGCGCCTCCCTGCTGCGCGGCACAGCAGCCGTCAAGAAGCCGCCCGACCAGCGCGACATCTATATGGGCCTGTGGCGCAACTACGCCCTGTTCGCGTGTCGCGTGGTGCCGGCCGTCAGCCAGCCGGGCCCGGCCATCCGCTGCGTCTCGCCGGAGCTCAGCGTCAGGTGATTATGGCGCCGCGTCACCGGCCGGTCTGCAGGTCACCGATGTCCAACTGGCAACGACCGAGCACCTCTTACAGATGGTGGCACACAGCAGAGAAACACTGATGTCAGTGTGCATTTGCAGGCGTGGTTTCGCGTTACTTTTACGCTTGAGTCAGTGCACCGACACAAGCGGTAACGAGACTGCAAAACATGTTCACCTCAGTTGATCAGTACAAACGCACCGGTTGCTTCTTCCCAGTAACAGTACCCGTAGCAATCAACACAACCGTCCACCTAATAACAGACGTCGCCAAACGCAAGTTCTGCCGGCGGGCACCCATGGACGCCTTGGTGTAACGTGGTGTATCGTTTGGCTCTCGTGATTGGTTAGTGCCTCTTCCGAACCGCGTTTTAGACATGTGTAGTACCGCTCCTTGTAACAATATGAACTACACGGTGCGTTTGTCGACCTAGCGCTGCTTGGAAACGGAACAAGCCTTGTTGGCTGTGTGAGATTTGAAGAGAATATTGTTGTGTGTGTATTGTGTTAATGTGTATATTGTAAAACCATGTAATCCGATTTAATTTGCATTCATCGTTTTAGCGGGATACATGCCAGGATGTAATATCAAGGACTCAAAAAGGGTCAAACGAAAACTTGCTGTCGTGGTTAACTTCTCTCGTATGATCTGCCTGCGCCCGTCACCCCACCCACACCATTCCCGGTTGCGCTCCGCGGCTGACCTATGAGGCAGGTCGGGCGTGACCCGTGCGTCACCCCTGTGTGACCCTTGCAATACCCGTATGGGACCCTGGTGTGACCCGTGTGATACCCATGTGTGACCCGTGTCGGACCCACATAATACCCACGCGCTACTCGTATGTAATCCATGTGTGACCCGCCCGTGACCCTGTTTGACCCGTGTGTGAGCCGCATGCGACTCGTGTGTGACCCGTGCGTGACCCAGCTCCGCGGCCCGCCGTGACCGGTGTGTGTGTGTGTGTGTTTGGTGCGGCAGCGTATCCCCGGAGTCGGGCGGCGGTGACCGGCCGGACCCGGCCTCGTTGCACCGATTGCTGGTGCCGCTGCTCCGCTCCGAGGCTGCCCACCTGCGTGACGCGGTCACCGAGGCACTCGGCCGCATCAACCACCTGGCGCTCAAGTGAGTGTTCGGCCGCCGCTCCTCACCCCCGCCGCACCGCGTCCCCGCTTCTCTTCGCCCCCGCCGTACCGCGTCCCCGCTTCTCCTCGCCCACGCCGCACCGCGTCCCCGCTTCTCCTCGCCCCCGCCGCACCTCGTCCTCGTCCCGTCACACCTCATCATGGCCCCCGCCGCTCCGTATCCTCGCCCCGCGGCATCTCGCCCCCGCCGCATCTCGTCCTCGTCCCGTCGCACCTCATCATTGTCCCCGCCACTCCCGTCCTCGCCCCGCCGCATATCGCCCCTACCGTACCTCGTCCTCGCCCTGCCGCACCTCGTCCTCGCCCCCGCCTCGCCTCGTCCTCGCCCTCGCCCTCGCCCTCGCCGCTCCTTGTCCTCGCCCCCGCCTCGCCTCGTCCTCGCCCCCGCCGCTCCTTGTCCTCGCCCCCACCGCACCGCGCCCTGGCCCCCGCCGTACCTCGCCCTCACCGTTCTTCGCCCCGCCGCACCTCGTCCTCGCCCTGACGCACCTCGTCCTCGCCCCGCCGCACCTCGTCCTCGCCCTGCCGCACCTCGTCCTCGCCCCGCCGCACCTCGTCGTCGCCCCGCCGCACCTCGTCCTCGCCCCGCCGCACCTCGTCCTCGCCCCGCCGCACCTCGTCCTCGCCCCGCCCCACTTCGTCCTTGAACTCGCAGCACCTTGTCCTCGTTCACGGCCGCGCCTCGGCCTCTTCCGCCCCGCCCCGCCCCCGCCCCCTCCGCGTTGTTGTGCTCTGGTGGTTCCGACTCGGCACTGACAGGCGGCGGTAGCGTCTTGTTTTGGCACCGGGGGTGATGGGAAAGTTAAATTGGTGTTTTCCAGAGGCGAATATTCTAGTTTGTTGTCATTGCCAATGAGCTCATATTTTACACCATGTATCACATTGTTGTGGGAGAGGAAGGATCTCAGAACCTCTCTGCTTCGGCCACGCATTTTGGGTACGTAGATATGTGCTTCATAATAGTGCAGCGCCATGTGGACAGCGACAGGGTCCTCGGTTCATTTGTTTCGGTTGGCCAACATCAATTTGAACAGCCCAGTGATGTTTGGTGCGGGCGATGCTGCGTGATTTCAGAGGTACACGATTAGTCGCTTGGATTAACGCACTGCATTGTCCTGAAACGTAGTGAACTGAAACATCTGAGCCAAACATAGTCAGAACTGAACAAAACGGGCAATATTGACCCGAGAACACCCGAGAGGTAATAGCTCTGATCGTAGGCCATCTTTTCATCACCCCGGTTTATCGGAATGTGTTTGTGGATATGACATAGCGCATGTGCTGGCTGTTTGATTTAGTAGCTAATGTAGCTGTGTTGCGTCTACCGTCGGTCGTCATCGACGTGGATGTGCTTAACCCGTCCAGGGATGGTCGGCTATTTCTTAAGAGCGATGTCTGCTAGAGGCAGCTTTTAAACAATTTTGTCATTTGGTTTAATGCCAATATAATTGCGTGTTTAGTGTGTCTTAGCGTCAGCTTGGCACAAAACTGTCCCCTTGCAAGCGACGAATGGGTTGAAGGACCAGTAATACATGAGACAAAATTAATGTTTCCAATAATGCAAGGAGTTGATACGGCGACGCTTTAAGTATGTTGTGCATGCTATTAAAAATCGGAGCGTGCTACACAGCGTTTGGTCAAACATACCGTTGTCTTGCCACGAGGTTTGGCTTCTCAGTTGTGCGATATTTTCTACATTGCGGAGCCACACAAATGCAGTCATATTTTTTCATTACCCACCGTGCAATAACTCGAGAAATGAGCGCCCACGAAAGACTAATGCTCCCCAGGGACCTGATGCTGGAGCTGGCGCCGTACATCCGCGAGGCGGTGGACCGCAAGCAGGAGAACATGCGCCGCCGCCGCCGCCGCGACACTCTCCGCCAACAGCTGGTCAAGGTGTTCGAGATGATCGCCGACCAGGGCACCTTCGGCCTAAGGTTTGTCGTCCGCGCCCCGTGGGCCGTATTGTGCGGCGTCTGGGTGTGGACACCACGTATTCATCTTTTCAGTCAGCATCGTTGTAGAAACATGGCTTCTAAGGGGCTCATCGCCCAGGCTGTGGTTTCAAAACACGTGTTCACAGCCACCATGGAATGTTAAAATTCACACGCGTTGTTCAGGCGTCGGAACAACGTTGCGGGAGCAAACACTTGAGCCAGAAATAGAACCGCTCGCCGGCACTGGGTCGTCGCGCGTGGCGCGCGCTTGGCGCCTGGCCGAGTACTGGGTCGCACCTGTGGGGCCGTGCGGCGTGGCTCTCGTGTGAAGACCGGCACTGGAGCCCGGCACGCCGGCGGGCCTCCCGGACGCCATCCCCGGGCCTGGGAGCGTGCTGATGGGCCGCGGCAGGCGTGGCTCCCGTCTGAAGACCGGCACCGGAGCCCGGCACGCCGGCGGGCCTCCCGGACGCCATCCCCGGGCCTGGGAGCGTGCTGATGGGCCGCGGCAGGGTGGCTCCCGTCTGAAAACCGGCACTGGAGCCCGGCACGCCGGCGGGCCTCCCGGACGCCATCCCCGGGCCTGGGAGCGTGCTGATGGGCCGCGGCAGGGTGGCTCCCGTCTGAAGACCGGCACTGGAGCCCGGCACGCCGGCGGGCCTCCCGGACGCCATCCCCGGGCCTGGGAGCGTGCTGATGGGCCGCGGCAGGCGTGGCTCCCGTCTGAAGACCGGCACCGGAGCCCGGCACGCCGGCGGGCCTCCCGGACGCCATCCCCGGGCCTGGGAGCGTGCTGATGGGCCGCGGCAGGGTGGCTCCCGTCTGAAAACCGGCACTGGAGCCCGGCACGCCGGCGGGTCGGGCTCGGCCGCAGCCGCTGGCCCGACAACAGGCGGCCAATCGATGTCCACGGCGGCTGCGGCTGCCGTGAGCCGCGCGCGACCTGAACAGCGCCGCCGGCCAGGCCACCGCTGTGCGGCCTTCCCGCCGACAGGGTCGGCTGGCGTCCGTTGCCGACCGTCCCTCTGTCAGGGTCGGCTAGTGTCCGTTGCCGGCGGCCGACAACTCGCTGGGCCGGGTTCGCAAACTCCTTACCATCAGTACTGAGCAGCACACCGAGGGTGGCCGGATCCGGAGCTGGCTTCTTGCGTGTTCGTTAGTGCAGCATGCTACTTGAATGTTGCGATGCGGCCTGGTTTTCAACAGCCGCGGACCATGGTACGGAACGGAACTTGACGAAAACGACCGTCCCATCTGATTTGAACAAGATTGGTCGAGCATCGCTTTTTCAGTGACATTCAGAACCGTCATATCGCCTCCGCGATCTACATTCATTCAGACAGGAGGGCAGGGTTATTCCGCCTGTTGCCGACTCCCGGTGCCTTCTCGATAGTAAGATTCCGCCATATTGGACGAGCTCCATAGGAATTGCCACGGCAGCCGGCTAACGAGGAGGTGCCTGCCGGCCGGGATCGGGTGCTCCCTCGCTAATATCCGGTATTTCGGATGCTGTGCGTATTACCCGAGGTCGTAAAGACGTCGTCTGGATGACTTAATGACCCGCGCCTGCGGCCAGCCTCCTGCATTCAGTGATACGAGCGCGGCGATCCGACAGCCCACCAGTGGATTATTTATTGTTAAAAATATTAGTCGAATCGGAAATATTTGTGGCACCGGGAACACCTTGCATCACATCAACCCCCAATGCCCGTAGTATAGCAAGGACGCCATGTCAATTGAGTCATCGTTCTTGACCTACACAAATAAATACAGTGTGGCGGCAAAGCGCAAAGCGTCCACCACGCACCGGACTGTAAGACCACTGAAGCTTCGGACCCGGATCCGCCGCCGCTGTGCAAAACCAGCGGCAGCTCGGTGCTGCCGGCGGCCTCCGCCCCTCGCCGTCCGGTGGCGGAGGACCCCCGCTGTTCGGGAGGTCGGCGAATGTCCAGGCCAATGTGTCACGGAGAAGGGATATTATGCTGCCGTCGCCGGCCGTAGCCCATATGCAGTGGGTAGTATTCTTTTCGCTCCGTCGTCGTTCACTCGTTCCTGTTGTTGGGATGTTTCGGTCGGTGATGCACCTATTGCGTGCTCAGATGGAGAGCGCGTACAAAGAGGCTTGGGGTCAAGGTCAGGTCAATAGGTCAAAAGAGGTCTTGAAGGCCCAACCGCAGATGCAGCCTTTCACGTGTCGGCCGAAATAAATCCGAATGCTTTATTTGTAAAGGTTTGCTCTTTTCAGCACATGCTTTTGGGGCCAAATACTAACGTAATCCTGTGGCTTCCAAACAACACACCCGTCAGTTGACCACAGCAACCAATCATCTCTTTTCATTTTGCCGGCATCGTTATTGTTGGCATCAGCGAATTACCGCCGTCGCCGCTGCCAAAGCACTCGTGGGTCACAGAAGCGTCAGGCGTCACGAGCGCCTTTTCGTCTCCACCCGTTTTTGGCTGACGTGTAGCGACAGCATCCTCGGCGCTCGCGGTTCAGCATTGCGTGTAGGCCAGCAGGTGCTGACCGTGCCACCGGGAGAGACACGGCAGCAGCCGGCTGAAACAGCGCATGCCAACGGGCCGCTGCCGGCGACCCGTTTGCCGTTTATTGCCGGTGCCCGGCTGCTGGAAGCCCTTCTGCCGCTAGCGGTATGTGGTAAAGTAACGTTAAATTAAGTCGGTCGTCAGCGCGCGTGCCCCAACCGACGTCGGTCGGCGGCGGCTGCAGTGGCTAGTTGACCACGCCGGCTACAATCACCGATGTTGGATTTGCTGGTGCTCTGACGGGCAAGGTTGGGTTTGGCCATACTTTGGCGCATGGCCGCCTTTCATGCAGTGCTCCGTCTCCGACAAGTGATGCCAAACAGATTATCAATGGGTCCGCTGTGGTTTGAAACAAAACATGCGCAAGCATAATATGCATCCTAAATATACACTCACTGCGAAAGGGTAGTGCGGCTGGAAATATTTACGCTAGATTTTAGATGAAATTACTGTTTAATCAAACTGAAACCAAGAATGAAAAAAAAACTGACTGACTGACTGAAAACTGACAGGTGAAAATTTGTGCTACCAAGATTTTCCAGTGAACGAAAACCTCAGGGAGTTTTGATGCCATTGCAAGGGAACATTGACAAACATATATCAGAACGATGAAAAATCATCCAACATGATCATTAATGTGGAGTCCACTGAAATTTTTGAATACAAAGCATATGTATATGTACATACCTACATATATGTATATATACACACACGCATATATATATATATATATATATATATACAAACATGCATTTCTATATATATATATATATATATATATATATATATATATATATATATATATATATATACATATATAATACTGGCCGTTAAATGTAGCTGCGGCTTCGTGGTTTATTGTAGTCAGAGTTTTATTTCGATCTTGCGGATATTAAGGGTTTGTTTTCTGGACTTCGCTTGTTTAGAACAGACGCAAAACTCTGCGAGGTGAGCCCAAGTGAAGCACGATAAATACCTACATAAGATATACATATATACATATCCACATATACCTATATACATAGTATGTACGTAATATATACAGGCACATATATATATATATATATATATATATATATATATATATATATATGTATGTATATACATAAGGGACGTCCTTCATCGATTTGTCTACGGACCCGAAAAACTGCTGATGCGGCCCATTTGCTAAAACGACTGCCCGCTGCTGATGCGCGGCGTGCTTTTGGGCTATTCCAGAGGCATGCCGGTTCGCAGAGGCGCTTTGGTTTGATTATCTTCAGGACGGTTCCGGCAGCTTTATTGCGACGCCGGGGTCTCGGCCCGTGGATTTCGTCATTTTAAAGGCACTCGACTTGGGGAATAGAGGAGAGCGAGAGACTTGTGGAGAAAATGGGTTTGAAATGAGTCCAATAGATCGCGATCCCTCCACCTGATTAGGAGTGCGGGCTCATCAACTGCACGCCTAATTAGGAAAAATTAAATTGATGGCGGAAGTGCTGTCTCCCTCGGTATCGATCGCGTAGTCAACGCAAGCTGGCTTGCGGGCGTTTCGTATATGCGTGGTAGACTTGCACCCTAGACGACGGAAAGCTATTCCGCGTAGAACATCAATGTGAAGATCCGGACCCTGTGCTCCCTCTCCCCAGCCTTGGTATTTCACAGACCACTCAGTCCAGACCGAGCGGCGGCTGAACTTTTGCTCGGTCATCGGAGCGCGGACGTTGCCGTAGATTGTCGGTCAGGGAGAGTTTGCCAATTTATACTGGCGGAAGACCCTGCAGCACGCGAGAGCTCAGGAATGATTGTGTGCTGCGGTCTGCGACGAAGGTGTTCTCCTAGCCAGCCTGTCAAAACAGTGCAAACATGTTAGTCGCATCTGCACGGGTCCTCATGTGGCAATGGGCAACGTGCTGCATCACGTGTTGCTGTCTGCCATGCAGGCTTGTGTTCGATTTCGCGCCCATGGAATCGATGCTGCCTGATTCGCAGCGCATGACACTGATTTGGGTTCATTCCGACCCCGCCCTGGCGCAGTACAGCACAGTCTCGAGTTAGCTCCGATTTTGACTTGCTGGGGCGTGGCTGAATTGCGGAATTCGATCCCATTAAGCTGCCTTCGGTTACCGTGAGCCCGGCATGCTGCACGGCGGACCACGCAAAGGGCTGTGAAATGCATGCCCGGTTAAGAAGGGAACAATACGCGTGTGCTCTATCACACATATGAGTGCCACCAGAATAAAGAAAGGTTGTGACTTTCGTCCATGTGTTCCCCGTTCTCCGTTCTCGTTCCGTTTGTTTGTTTGTTTGTTTGTTCCCCACAGACTCCAGTCAGTACGTTTGACTCAACTCAGACTCCGCCGGTCACACGCTTTTCGAAGGAATCGCTTCCCCGCACTAACGACGCAAATTTAACTGTCAACTGAGTAACTTGGGCTGCACCAGGGGACAGACGCACGCGCTGCGGGGCTACCCGAACCCCCGCCGAACTGGCTTGAAGTAAGCTGTTCCACCAAATGTCAGAACTACCCTCGATTTGCAAGTATTTACTCTCTGATGCGCCTGAAACTGACGTGTAGATATGTCGATTTGCATCTGTGTGTGATTCTGATCGTACGAATGCTCTTGTCCTTTTATGCGTGCTCGCACGCACTGGTGTGCAACATGAATGATGCGTGTGTATGCGTGTCACAGTGTGCGGCAGCAGACTTGCATGCGTGAGCGTGCGTGCGTATCTGCGCGTCTGCTACTGCCAAGCAAGCGAGCCTTGCAGCGGGCGGATCGAACCGGCTGCTAACGACGGCCCACCCGTGCCCACAGCCCGTCCATCATCGACACAGACTCGCAGACGCTCTACCCGACGTTCGTCGAGTACATCGACGGCGCCCGGCTGTACCTGGAGGCGGAGAGCGACAAGGAGGCGACGGCCGTGCACCAGATCAAGCTGTACTTCTGCAACTTCATCCGCAAGCTCATCAAGAGCTTTCCTCGTGAGTGTTGCGGTCAGCTTTTGGAAGCTTGAGTGTGTGCCCGTCGTACTGATCGGGTCCAGACGGAAATGGCGACGGGCTGCGGGCTGTTGATCAGTCCTGCACGCACCTCACTTTGAGCTGACATCCCACGGCCGTCTGTGGCGTGATGACCACAGACCGAGCTGTGCTCTGGGAATATCCCACTTGTGGTGTTCCACGTGGTTAACCTGTGCTCTTGCTTAAGTGAGGAACGTACACACGCCAGCTGTACGAGATGCTGCGTTACTGACGTTACTTAATATGCTCGGCGATCAGCCCCGCTAGGTTAACCCTTCAGCCCCTAAGGCCAACCCTTCGCGTCCGTGGCAGAAAAATGTTTTTGGACAATTGCTTTGGCCTTGATTGGTTAAAACGTCGTGGGTGCAAAATGAACCAGGCTGCCGGCCTACGCCTACCTCTGAGCAAGTGGGGTTTGCCTGATATATATATATATATATATATATATATATATATATATATATATATAGGGAACTTAGTGGGGTGGGGTTGGGAGCAACTTTGTCCCCGACATTGTCTTGCCTAATTAATGTTGGCGGTGGCCTTGCTAGTATTAATATATATATACACACACACACACACACATATATATATATATATATATATATATATATATATATATATATATATATATATATTAGTACTATAGTATAGTACTAACATTGATGGGTTGGCCACGCCAGTGATCGTTTTCCCCTCAGGTAATCGGTTGACACTCATTCGGGTCATGAGGTGACTTGTGCGCCGTCGGTAGATACCCGATATCAAATCTTGGTGGCGCCCCTGCAGTGGGCAGTGCTTTGAGAATATCCTATTACGTTCGTTGTTTGCTGATAGTTGCCTTTGGAACGACTTTGCTGCATTTAGCATCCTAATTAGCCGGCGGAATGCCCAACTGGCGATGATGCTGATTTAATTATCAGATGCAAACCAACGCGCTCATTGGGATGGGTGAAAATAGAAAGTAATAATCGCACGGCCGCGTGAATTTCGATAAGCTGTTACGTCGAACGTTAATGATCGTTTCTCCGGATAATTGCAAATGAGAGGTCAGAAAATATGTCACCCAAAGTCGAAAGGATATCATCAAGTGCACCGCGTGTCCATGATCTCAGCGACGCGGCCCATTCACGCCCATCAGCCGACTTGCAAACATGTCGATGTTCTTTCATGCAGCAAGGCTTTTCCAGCGGTCACCGCACTTGAGTTATGGTATGCGGGTGCGAAACCACACGAGCGCGCCATATGGACGTGCTCGAAGTCTCAAGGTGGTACCTTTAAAGGGAATGCTCTGCACTTGAAGATATTGGAGCAAACGTCATCCATGATGAAAGGAAGTCGTTGATAACGATTGGCTTAGTTTTGAGTGGAAAAGACTGCCATGGACAGCACGATTTCTCTGTTAAGTGAATATGCTCCCCAATACGTCATTGTTTGATTACGTCATCGCACCTTGCACAACATTGACTGAGAGCCAATTTACGGCTGTTTTATCTGGGAAGTGTGCCCACGGGATAGATGTGAACGACTCGGCAATTATATTTTTTTGCAGTCTTGATCGACGCATGGGCAATGGAATGGCAGGATTTGAATGACGTTATTATAACATCATGGATGCTTGGTTGACATCGGAATGGTCTTCCCGAAATATACTGGACATTTTCGCGGTCGTCTAGCTCAGAAAGTTAAAGGGCTTAGGCTTTAAGACGGGCGGGTCCGTGAACTGCATTGAATGATCTTCAAGATGGCTATTGCAGTTCAAAACCCGATACAAATCTGCAACACTCCCTTTAAGTCGCTCGCACCCTTGTCATAAACACTGCATGAGCGTAGCATTCGGAGCGCAGTAAAACCTCTCAACAATGTTTATGCCAGCTAGCCACTAACCTGTTACCACCCAGTGATCAGGCGAAATGGCGTGTCCGAGCGCCAGACGGAGGCAACATGAGGTAAAGGGATACCGGATGTGCGTTGTGCGCCATAGGCCGGTCAATGCACTGATGTGAGGAGTGAATAGATTTTCGCACATCACGTGTGAACATCAAACAGTGTACTGAACTTGGCGCATCTAGCGCGTCCCGCTATTGACCCCGATCACACAACGTACCGCACAAACAAATTCGCACTGGAGCTCCCAACCTGGACACTGACTGTACACAGGCAACTTACGTGTGGATAATGTTCCAAGCTTTCGTGAGACTCGGACACAGCATGTGTCGGCTTCACCCATTCGGTTGACAAAGCTTAACGTTAAGCAACGCGACGCGACGCGACGCGACGCGACGCAACGCAACGCAACGCAACGCAACGCAACGCAACGCAACGCAACGCAACGCCACGCAGCGCAACAGAACGCAGTGCAACGTAATGCGGTATGACGTGACGTGACGTGACGGAAGTCGCTTGTGAGTGACAGTCCAGCCAGTGTTTTTATCTCACGAACAGATGCATACCCAGATGGCGCCTGTTTACAACAGGGCGCCAGGCTGCCGACACGCCTGCGTGCATGCCGATTCCAGTCGGTCCAGGTATGCTCGTCGAAGGCGGCTGGCTGACAGGCGTGCCATAGCATTGGAAAACGCGCGTTCAGCTTTCGGCCCCTAGCCCTGTGCGCTGCTGATGACACTGGTGCGTGTTGAAGGCCGCACCACGCGCAGGTGCGGCGTGGATGTGTGCTCGGCAGTGTGGCTACCTCCGGTGTTCGGCCAGCTGTTTACCTGCCAACACGAGCGGAATGCCGGCATGGCCCTCCCGAGCGCCAAGCACGGACGAAAGGGGAGGGAGCGGTACCGACCGCGTGCCTGTATGTACACCAGGGACCATTTCTTGCATTATCTCTGAGAAAGGTACATGCATGCCCACGCAACAGTCGTGGGAACCCAGCTGGCAAACTGGGCGTTTGTACGTAGTACGTTAGCCCCACAATCCAAAGATGTGCACGTGTGTGTGGGGGGGGGGGGGGGTCAAGACTACGTGTCAACCGCCAGTCCCGACTTGGAATGCAGCCAGACGAAATGGGTGCATCGATTAGACTGAAATCCTTTAAGAACTCGGTGATTCAGACAAAATATTGCATGTAATTGGTTTAGATCATTGAAAGGCCCTGGGAACCAAATTTCAACTCAAAGCCTTACAGGTGCAGCACGTGCGCGTTAACACGCGCCCGAGTGGTCGGTTGAACGCGATGCGCGCGGGTGGCGGTCATTTTACCCCCGCGAGACCCCCCCCCCCGCCCAAATACCGGAGCTTAAAACACAGAATTCAACATTCAAGGGTATGTAAGGGCCTGTCACAGGGCCTGTATGTAAACTCAACTCACTTTTGTCAAGTTCTGAGGTCCCTAAGTGGGGCTCTTCAGCTCAAATAGAGTCAAATGATTTCAAGCTCCGTATTGGTGTCTAAGGTGCCCTCAGACCGCCTCATGCAGCCACCGTTAACCTGGACATATTTAACCTGGATATTAACATATCAGGCTAGTTATCGTATTGTACTTTCAGAAGGTCGAGTTGACCAAGAGTCATCGCTTAGCTTTGTTTGAATTCAATAAGCGTTAAGAACTACACTATGCGATATCTTCCTGCAACCAAAGGTTTGTTGGATTCACTTTTGGTGAGTGATCCTCCCTGACCTTCATGAAGTTCAAGTAAGATGTCTGTTGACGGCCCTGTGATTGCGAGACACGAATGAGCATCTCGTATTTCCGTGTGAAGGCAGTTTTCGATGAAAAGAGCGATTTTGTTTGGCCTTGTTCTGACCCCCATACCTGACTTAAGGTCAATGGTCGCAATCCTAAATTCAGTAGTATCATTGTCTAAGAAACTAGCTCAAATATGTCTGGCTTCGTCTAGCACCCCGTTGTCACAGAGTGTTATGCCACGCAGAATGAACGATTGCGTATGAAGATCAGATATTCAGTTGCCTACAGCCAATGCAGAGTTTGGTACGCCTTTCGAGAGACACCTTGGAGGGGGGGGGGGGGGGGGAATGGGCAACTAGATCCCCACCCTAGCGTGTGTTCACACGCTACCCCGGGCAACATTGACTGGAGTGAGTGTACCGTTTGCCGTTCTTCGTTGTCATTCCATACTTTATGCGTGCTGGGGTATACGCAGCCGACTACTTTTGCAGGGAATGGAAGAGGTCAGCATTTGACGCAAGCACTTCTGTTAACACCCGAAACCACCTGCGAATCATGCAGCCCAGTAGCATTTGAATCCGGGCTGACATTTCAGCCCAGCTCTGCAAACTGGTCAGATACCGTTCTCGCCACTGTGACCAATGTCGGCCAAGTCCGGGCCGGTTTGCGGATGGCCACCCAGTGCTAGCGAGAACGAGGCCCATCAGGCGAGCGGGGCGCCCATCGCATGGCCGTCGGCGACGAGATAACGCTCAGGCCGGGTCACTGCAAGCAGCCAGTTAGGGAGTTGTGGACGAACTGGTCCCGGAAGGCCATCACGCCTCTTCAGCCGACGTCACTGCGGGCCGGGGGTCTGGCGAGTCCACTGGCCAGGACGCCGCGCGGTGCACGGGGTCTGACGCGTCAGGCGACCTGTTCGAGCCGCTTCTCGCTCCCGTGGCAAATCGGCGGCGGTTGACATGAATCTATAGTGGCAGTTGATTACCCTGTTTCTAAATATGTTTTAAAATTCTGGCATGTGTTTAGGCACCCGTGAATGGTTTTTGATACGTATCCCCTCTCACTGTCAGCAGTCTTAAGCGCCCGCAAGTCCCAGTTACTGCCACTGCCATCTCTATGCTTATGTATGTACATGTATACATGGATGCAGAAGATCGAGGAAGGGAGGAAATTCATCGCAAAAACGCTGGAATTTTTCTTCGAGCACGAATAGAAATATCGGATTTCTGGACATCTGCACACTTTTTAACAAATTTCCGACTGACATGTCGTCATGTTTAATCTGCTTTCGCCGGCAACGCCATGGACTTAAATGCTGCCGTAC